TTAAAAGGGTAGTTATAAGAAACACCATACTCAACGTACCATAACACACCTAAGTACAGTGCTCCACCCAAAGCGAAACGAGCCAGCCTGGACAGAATTGTCATGGGCCAATCAAGCCCCTTAAACCTTCATGCAAATGAAGGATACAAAAAGAAACCAATCCAAAGGGACAAAAAACAGGATAAAAAGGGGCTGCTGACCCACTGAATACCTGCCGCTCCATCGGGGACATCGCTGCTCAATAAGACCCAGTGCCGGCCTTGCAGCATCCTCGACGGGAATGCTCCTGGCTCGGCCCGCGGGCCCCCTTGCTTCAGGCCTTTCTTTTTCTTATAATAAATGCTGAAATCACTTTAGTACCGGGAGCCTGCTCTCGTTTTTAACAACAGGACTTAGCGTTTTACAAATCTGAAAATATCTTGCCTCGAATGCCTGTGAAGTGGGAGTGAGGCAAATCATGCTCAGAGGTGGTGCAAGGGGAGGAAGGGAGGAGTGGAAAGCAGCAGTACTTTACAGTAGTCCAGTAGTCCTGTAAGGCCATCACATTAATGGGGAGACAGGAAGGGAAAACACTCAGTAGGGAATGAGGATGTGCAGAATGAAAAGCGGACACAGTGATAAAACCTGCTTGAGAACAACTGGCTAAACTGAGTCAGGAGTCTTGTAAAGCTTGCCTCAGAAATTACTTTGCTGTGACGAGAAAATAGCTCTTCTGCCTTTAAAGAGTGGGGAAAACCACCACAATTTTATATAGACAGCTTCTCAGTTTGTTCAGTAATGACTAAGTTCAGCACATGTGGCATCATGAATAAGTCAGCCAAAAGTAATACTGAACTGGCAGAATGAAAACGTTAGGATAATGATCCATATGGGAATACCAGGCAGTTTATGACTTGGTTTATCAGGTTTTGTAATTTAATTTTTGTAACAGTTTCTTAGAGACAGCTTTCACACACGGATTCATGAGACACAATGACATCATGTGATCTGAGTTAATTCAACAGCTCTGCAAAATAAGACACTGAGTTTTGTCACATAATGGATCCCCATATAATGGCCTCACCCATTAATGTAAGGCAAGAAAAAGAGCACATATAGCTTTAGAGTAGACATGCATAATGATCCCATCATGCTTAAGAAGGATAAAATCATCCAAGAAAATTGTAGCTGTTACAATAAGCAATGCAGCTGTTGGAATTGGAGCATGGTTCTTTACTACATGATGTAAACATGTCAACATTATTACATGTGTTCTTAAAATGTTACCTTTTATAATTCTCCACTGTTGTGTGTGTTTTTTTCCACAGAGCTGACCGCATGCAAGTTGCTTACAGTGATCAAGGTGGAGTCTAAGGCTTATTACTCATCTCCAGTTAAAGACCAGCTTAAGGTATGGTTTAAGGACTGCAAAAAACTCAGTGCAATTCCTAGGTTCATGGAACAGCACATGTAGTATCCCACTTTTTAGTTTGATTCAGCTGTTTCTGAGAATCACTACAAACTATGAGACAGCATATTTCCTGTTCAAATAACTGGAGACCCATAGTCTTGAAGGTCTATTGTAAAAGCATATTAAAGACCATTACTTATTTTACTGCATTATTTTAAATTCTTCTAAAGAATTACTAAGAATAATACCATGTGAAACAACTAAGTACAATTCAAGCATGTAAACATGAATTGAAACAGAAGTTCTCTTTTTATTTGAAGAATACACTGTGTCACTGTGTCTTTTCAAAAGTCACTTTATTATTTAGCTCTTACTAAATATAGACATTACTTTTATTTTTAAAGCTATAAATAGATGCTAGTGTAATTCATCAATTAAGGAAAATCTATCAGGAATTTGGGAGCTGTCCCTTGCCCAGAGATGTGAAATGCCTGCTTTATTTCTTCCAAATGAAAGCTTAAACTCCACAAAGTCAAAGGTGACCTTTTAGTGTGTGCCTAAATGTGATTGCAGGGCCAAAAAAAGAGTTGTTTCAAATTATGCAAAAGGACTTGTGCAACTGGACTCTATCAGTCTCTCTGGGATGCTGAAAGGCTCATTTAATAAAGAATGAATGGGAAATATCTCCTATGAGATGGATCTTTTACAAGCTTAGCTGAATATAACAGTGCTGCAGTTCCTGCAAGTGCAATGCATACATTTCTGATGTCATATGCCTAATTTTAAAGAATAGCATAATACCATATCTGAAAGGTAAACATTAAATAAGTTGAGAATAATAAATGAAAAGCAGCCATCAGTCATCAATAACAGTATCTTGGGGATCCTGGAAGTATGGAGGATCCAACAAACCCCTTGATGACTCATATATAGCTGTAAAACTGTGCTAATAAATAGCTCCACAGAAACAAACTAGTAATTAGTGGGGATAAGCAGTCATGCAGAGTGATCTGCGTAAGGTGGAAAACTAAGCCAATTTGAACAAAATGTATTTTTGTAGAACAAAAGGTAGGCTGTCTCTTCCAAAGGATAGACTGTATTCTGGAAAATACCAATTCTGGAAAAATCCTAGCTATCATGTCCCAGTTAAGAACCAGTTTAGTGCAAGGCTCCCCTGTGATAATATGGCCAAAAGGGTGAATGCAGTCTTTGAGTACCTGTGCAGAAGAATAGCAAGCAGCACTATGGAGAAGCATATTCCAATGTTACATACAGAGATAAATTTTGTCCAGTGCTAAGCAGCCATGTTTTCAAAAAAAAAAACCAACTGCCAATGTTCCAGCCAGCAAGACACCTTTACAGGGGAATTTGTCTTTCATACAAACAAGAATTGACTTGCTGCATTTTAAAAGACAAAAAAAACCTCCAAAAAAAACCACAAAAAAACCAAACCAAAGAATGCTGGGCTTTAATGGTTAACAGCAATGATGAACACTGGAAGAACTGAATAGTAGAAAACAAGGCTAAACAAGTTGAATTTAGAATTAAGGTACAATTTCTAAATAAGCAAATATGATTTAACCATTTGAAAAAATTTCAAAATAAAACTATGGATTTTTCATTATGCATCTTCAAATTAACACTCAAGTTTTTCTGGCAAATATTTTATGGTAAATCGAGTTAATTATTGGATTCAATGCTGGCAAAATCTACCATCTTGCACTACCATAGTCTTAGGCCAGCTTATCTATCACTTGATTAATGACTTGATTTTAATGTTACTGGTAACACTTTCATGCAATTGCCTGCTTATTCAATCACCATGTCATAGACTGAAAGGGAAGAGGGAAATTTGGAAATAAAACTTCAAAAAGAGTGAGTGGAAGTTACTTCTGGAGATAATACAGAGGAAAAATGGTCCAAGAGTAAAGCAGTGGGCAAAATCTAGATGTTTTCTCAATGCATGTATAGCTCCCATATAGTGAAGTTACAAGTAGCAGCAGCCATTTAGGTAATTGTTTACTTTGTGTCTGACTGCCTTCTAGCCAAGCTCCATTCACACTCAGACAGCTTTCTTATGAAGATCAATGAACCAGCTTGCAGCTGAGGGAACCACATAAACCTAAATGCCTGCTATAGTCCAGAGCTATAATGTGACATGACTTTTCTTTCACAGTGAGCTTGTCACCTCCAGTTTAATTCACTTAGGTGTTACTGTCATAGCTGTTGTTCAGGTATTAACAAGTTTAATTCAAGGTTGACTTTCTTATCCATCAGGAATGGGTCAGCACTCAACTAAAAGCAGTTACATGCTGTTTGGGGTTTGGCTTTCTCTACTAGTGACTATTAATGCTATGATTGCTAGCAGAGCAGCTTCTGTGCATTCTCTGTAGCTTACTTTTCCAGAATCAGATGCTTATTCAGAGTATAACTCTAATTTCCATATTCTTCCTTGAAATTATAATGATGCAGCAATTTCTTTCTGCTTTAGTCTTCCTTTCATTACATTATCTGAAATGCCACTGTTTCAATTTTATATTCACTTACTCCTGACCCAATAAATTTACCTATTTCACTGACTCTGCACATGCATTCTTCACTGCCTGCTTGCTCAATAGGTCATCTGCCTTCACTCCTAGCCATCCTATTTAGAGTACCTTGACTCCTTAAATTTCCACAGTTTAGGGAAATATGGAAATGGACAGGGATAAAATTTTATTTATTCTTTACTACCTTTCATTTCTGTATCAGCTAAGGCAACTTCTCATCTCTGTTCTTTGAATATGACCTCAGATTAAACAATGGAAGACACATTCTAGATGTAGTTCTAAGGTAAAATAAACACCAGTATTTCAATACTTTTCTTGTTCTGCATTTTACTAATACCTACATATCTATTCTATTACCAAGACCTAAAAATGCTAAGACAGGATGTAAAATACTTTATTTCATCACTGCTCAAGGCAAAGCCCTGCAGTCCCCTTTTTATCTTAAATGATAAAAGCTTTATTGCCAGTCAATAAAATGCACTGTGCCAAACCCCAAGTTATTTAGCATATTAAATATGACATTATGGCTACAGTAAATAAAGGTGAGTTTAAAAACCAAACTTCTTCCCTTCTGCATTAAAACTTCTTGTCACAGACAAGAGAAGTTAAAATTGGCCCCCAAGCCCTTATGCTGCAAAGCCATCACACTTATTTCAGAAGATTCAACCAACATGTAAAATGATCTGTAACGGATTTGGATGCTCTTCAGCTCTCCTGCAGGTTAAGCTTCAATAAAGGGAGTAATTAGATGCATTTAACATCTGCTACAAAGTCACCAACATGATTTTTTGAAGCTTTGTACCAAGATTCATAATTGTATTCCCAATCTGTTTCCAAGTTAATTAAACTGAGATGGAAAAGAAAAATGCTGCTCATGAGTGAAGTGTAACTACTTTCAGTGAAAATACTGCTCCTTTCACACTTCTTTTGAATGAGTGTAACATTGGCCCTGCTGAAAGGCTCATTGTTGCTAGTGTGATGGATCAGTTTCTAGATTTAAGTGCAAGTAACCACAACTATCAATGCACTTCTAGACACCTGAACAATGATACCCACATTTTTGCCTAAAGCAGTAAAATCAGACACATTATATGGCAGGAGGGTGTGCATGTTCCACATACACCCAGCTGCTTTAGTTTCAGCAAACTACTATAAGATCAGGACCAAGGCCATTGGCTTGCCTCTGACTGATTAATGAACATGCACTTAACAATCAGCCACAAACCTGCTCTCTTCCACAGCAAAATGAATATGCTATTCCAACTTCTGCAATGTGAAGCAACACAGACCAATCAGACATTCAACTGTAGATTCAAATAAGAGCTTTAATCAATGCACAGACAGTAGAGAATATGGTATTCTCAATTCCCCTCAGAAGATAAAAAAATACGTATTTTACAAATTTATAAAATGTAAATTTTCTTTTACAAATAATATACAAATGTTTTTTACTATCAAATGTATAAGACATTTTTATGTTACAACTGTTACCTTCTCTTAGAATTATGTATTCCCTGAACTGTTCTCCTTAAAAAGACAGGACAGTATAATAAATCCATAAGTATAATGAATATATTGCTCATGACAGTGGTAAATGCTGAACAAAATAATTCAAAAGATCTTTTTATCCATCAGATTGCTAAAGTTCTCATGTGAACTATATTACCATGAAGAAATGTTCTGAGTGTTAAATTTCAAAGTGAGATTGAACAATACCATCAGTCAAATAAGTCTCCATGCTCTGACAAAGATGATAAGAGAGAAAACAATCCTTACAGACAAAAAAACCCCAAATTGAGGTATTGGTAATTGAAATTCATCCAGAAAAGGATACTCCTCAGAATACTCAGATAGGTAATCTATAAAAGTCCTAAAGAAGAAAGACCTTTCACAAGGGCATGTAGTGACAGGATAAGAGGGAATGGTTTCAAACAGAGATTATGTTTAGCTTAGGTATCAGGAAGAAATTCTTTACTATGAGGGTGGTGAGGCACTGGAACAAGTTACCCAGAGCAGTTGTAGATGGCTCACCCCTTGAACTGTTCAAGGCCAGGTTGGATAAAGCATTGAGGAACCTGAGCAGCTCTGAGTAAAAAAAAACTGTCTGAAAGCTGTACCTGCCCATGGCAGGTTGGAACTAGGTGATCTTTAATGTTCCTTCCAACCCAAGCCATTTTATGATCATATGATTCTATGTTAAGCCTTTTGTATTATCTGATACCCTAGCAGTGCCTAATGGTATCACTGTCGCCATCTCTATTTGCCTCACTCCATCACTTGCTGAAGTAGGTTTGTCTGAGTCATGTAACAAACTGTTCTTCTCCAGAGGCCAAAAGGCTTGCTGGGGAAAAACCCCACCATGCAGTTCAGTAACTTTTGTGGAGGAATATTTGATGAGCACCTTGATTTTGTAGACAGTTGGAACTAATATTAAAAAGATCTCTGAGGAATAGAGTGGTACAACAGGAAAAACACCAATAAAGTTGCTGTATGTTTTGAATCTCACTGCAGGACATTCTTCCTCAGGTGGGTCAACCTGCTTGAATGCCTAAAGTCCTGCAAGGAAGGAGATACCCAGAATGCACAGGAGAAACCAAGACCCTTGTCTTCCAGCCAAACATCCAGTAGCAACTGACCTGGTTCATTTTGTGACACTGACTCAAACAGGGACTCTGTTCTCCTTGGCCCACTTTTTCATGACGCGAACAATGTACTCTACTTGAGAATTACCAGTGCTCTTCAGAAGGTGCAGAACTTCCCGCAGAGTCTCTCTACAAGGGTGAAAAGCAAAGATTTAAGCGAGGGTTAGACCCAACTGATACAATAAACTGCTCACATCAAACTATTTCACAAAACATAGGTTCTCTGAGACAGAGAAGTCCATTCATCTGCAGTGCTGGAATAGGTTAAAATGCACAATAGATGCGATCCCAGAGACAAAAAAAGCGATCAACAAAAAAGTCTTGTATACAATTGTAAAGAAATGATAAGTTAAAAAATAAAATCATCAAAATGTAATTAGTTTAGTGTCCGCATATGTGTGTATTTGTATACATGCCCTCACTCTTGCAAAATTGTTCCCCAGAACAAACCAAACTTAAAAAAAAATCTTTAATGTTATTTGCTAGTCTTTAGTATGGCAACATCTAGCTTAATGCTGTCAAAGCACTTTACACATAACACAATACACATAAACACAAATAACATGGAAATCAACATTCCTAATAGAATAAACCTATTACTATTATACCTATATAAATCCTGCTGCAGCTTGCCAGTTAGTTTACAATAAGAACTTAATTGCATAGTTTGAAAAACAGGCAAGTTATGTGTATTTTACTGCATCTGCTGCAGTGATTGTTAAAAGGACACTTGAAAGGTATAGTAGTTAATGAGATTATTCCAGCAGAGAAGTGAAAAGAAGGAAGGTGTAGAAGCCAAGATACACACCTACCAGTCATGTAGGAAAGAGCAACTTTGGCCAAAGACAATGGCCATCTGGCATCACAGCAGAATATTCACAAGAGAGCAGTTCTTAAATACAGCTTCACTACTCTCTCTCATTCCCCCATCCAGTGAAATGGGCCGAAAACAAAATTATCAGTAACACAGATGATTTCCTTTAACCTTTCATCAAGTAAGTATATTTGTGTGACACAGTCAGTGTCTTCAGAAGGTAAATTTTAATGAAAGCACAGTCTCATCTACTCTTTGTTTAGAGAAATCATGTCCCTCCTACAGTGCTCAGTAAATGTTTCCTTAGTTCTGTTCTATGCATTTTAAAATGTCATGTGATAGTTTTCCATTCTTATACCATCAAGATGAAATGATGTTGTTTTCCCCCAGTTCAGGAACATACAACTACACTTATAACCTACCTTTTCCGAGTGATGATGACTAAAATGTTTTGGTATTTTATAGTCCACAGCACTTGCTCATAAATTATTCTCTACCATATATTCTATTACTGTTGGTGTGGAAGATAGACTTCCAGCTGAAGACTGCATATGGAGCCTCTGGATGGAATGTCTATTCTCTGAAAGCTCAATAAAAGATTGGAAGGTGATATGTAGTCCTAAAGCTGAGATTATAATTCTGGTTTACAGCTAGGTGAAAACAGGAAAAGAGCAATATAAATTCAGATACAACACAGAATACTCACTTTGCTTCTCGTCCAGCTAAGATCATTTGAAATATACCCACACAAGCACCTCTCTTGCCTTCCCAGTATTCAGGATTATTATCCAGTCTCTCCAGAATATCAAAGGCTTTGGCTGAATAGTAAAACTGACGCATCTGCACAGAAAGTGAAACATTATTCCTGACCACCTTTCAGAAGGGGATTAAAAACACAGAAGCCAGTTTTCTGAAATCAGCAGTAAGCTGTAGAAGCAAAGTGCATTTTCCAGTTTTTCTGCAGGCAGCAAGTGACACAGAACAGGGACACTGCAGTTAAAGAAATGGGAAAGAGGTGGTATTACAACATCTTTTTTTTAGGTGCCCTTATCTAGTGTTGTACCAACTATACCAAAACCCTTGACAGAATATCTACCTCCAACTAGTCCAGACATTTGAAAATGAAACCACATTTCCTCATGTAGACATGGCCACATATTTGTTTATCTTCGGCGTTTAACTTAATCTTTTTTCTTCACTGTTATAATACAGTACAAAAGAAGACTCCGTGACTCTATAATCCCTAATTTTCCTTAGCATAGGAAAATCCCTATGTGTACCCTATCTTTTTTCTGCCTTAGGTTCTCTACTTGTAATTGGGAACCAGGAGCAAGTTGCTTGGCAACAGTCAATGCAAAAGGAGTGACCAGATTAACTGTGGCTTTTGAAGTCAGCACTGCATATCTCATGTGGGCTGTATGAGTGCTCTCCACTTGAGCAAGCCTGAAGGGCAATGGTGTTTGTGACTAGCATTTTCCCATGAGAGATCACAGAAGACAGACTGAGCACAACCTCCTGTCCTTTGGTAGCTGGAAGCCTGCAGAGAAAAAAGTGCAGGCTGTGGGAGCTACATTTGGAAACCTTAGTCAGAGAAACACTGGTACTACAGGATGAGTAATAATTCTCCTTTCTTCACATAAATGTTGATTTTAACCACTGGTGACTGGCAAACACTTCAATGTATGGGAAGTTAAGATAGTGAGTATGAACACTATCAGATGCATCAAAAGAAAAAGAAAAATTAGAGTACTGATCTATCCAAATTAGTATCTGATCTAGTTCCACTAAGCAGGTACAGGTTTAATGTTCTCCTTCTATCTGACCTAAATCTAGGAAATGCTTCGCCCCAAGTCATGTGCTGTTCCCCATATGGACAAGATGGACATAAAAAGCATCAAGAAATTAGCATGAAATACTGTGTGCCAGCTTCCTCACTGACCAATTTCTATCAGCACAGCAATGAGGCATCCAGCTACACCACCTCTCAGGACACTGCTGACCTTGTTCCATTCATGTTCATTCTGTTTTCCATTGAGCAAAGCCTAATGCAACTGCCTTCTTAAGTCACATCTCTGGTGCTGTCTGTGGATCTCCAATATAATGTAATGTTTCAGAAACAACTAAAAAATGCCACATAAAATCAAACAACATGGACCTTGCTATTTAGTTCAAGAGGTACAATGGCTGCTAGTGTAGAAAGACAAATTATATTACTAAAGTAACAATTTTGGAGCAGTCATTTACGGCCATATGTAGACATATAATTAGGCTGAAAAATTTAGCTCTATATATGCAGCTTTTAAGAGCTCTAGATAAATCCAAAATATGGAGATACTTCTCCTCTTCAGGACAAGAAGGTTTTGGAAAGAATTTAGACAAAGCAATCAACTGATTCAAGTGAGACTTTAAATGATCTAGAGAGAGATTTTACATGAGGTCTGATTTTCAACCTGCTTTCGGTTTGCAGTTATGGGAAACACCAGAGGCATAGTCACTTGCTTGAGCATCTAGACTTTTAGGGTGAGATGGTAACTGAGTAGTTGAAAGAAATACAAGCGATAATTCTTTCAGTTTTAGAATATTGCTTTTGAGATCCCAAAGAGTATCTCCCATTGCAAACTGTAAGGAAAACACAATACTGTCCTGGAAAAAAAAAAAAAAAGCAGCATGAAGCATGAGGCATCTTGCTGAATCTATGCTAGATTTTTTTCCTTCAAAGTTTTTTGTCTTTTCTCCCCATAATGAATCCCTAGTAGGAGAAGCAAGTGTTATCATTATTGATAGCTCAAACATGCAGTAATTTACCAACAGTTTAATCAATGGGTTCTCTACCAAGAACGCCTGTAGGTTAAAATACTGACTAATCCTTGCCAACTCATTCACAATATTAGACATCCTGCCATTACAACAGAAAATTCACTAGTGATGACAATGATAAAAACTATCAAAAAATGACTGTTGGTACAATCACTGAATTAACATGTTATACACCAAGCTCTAAAGAGAAAACTCACTTTGTAACAATCATTTGCAATGAGCTGCAATAGGTTAAAGGAGTCCCCTGATGTTTCCATCTTCAGATAGAGTTTCCAGGCTAGCTGTGGTTTCTTATTCATAATATCTGCAATAACAAGAAAAAGCTGGAATTGTGAAAAGAATATGCTATGCACAATATTCAGTGGCAGGTGGAACAGATATTCCTGTATTTCTTTGTTTAATGTAAATGTCTCAGCCATGAGCATGAGGCTGGGAAGGGGAACTCGTCCTTATCTTCTGATTTACTAGTGATAACAGCCAATTCAGCAGAGCATAGCAGCGTCAAAAGGAATAATTATAGTGTTTACATCTTAATTTATATTTCACAGATACGCAACAAGAACAACTCTCATGATTTCAGATGTGATTAAGGAGTAGAATGAAAAGCATCAGAGAAGTTTTTTAGGCAGGACAAATGGCAATCCATTTATGTGGTAAGATTTAGAATTATGTGTCCTTACATACAAAAAAATGTTAATTGGCACCCAAGTGAGGTCTTTAACACTTGGTGCTCATGTCAGTCTAAACCTTCAATTCCCATGATTCATAACAAATCAAAAGGAGAAGGCAGAGGTTGAAGCCCCTCCAAGCATAACAAAACTTGTCATTACTAAAAAAAATGTTTCTAAATTCCTGAGATCCCACACTGGTTTTAAATTTGTGTATATGACTAGAATTTTTCATTGGTCTTTAACTTTAAACATCACAGTTAGAAATAAAGGAGTCTGAATCTTCTATCTCGATGAGTAGAAATTCTACTAGAGTGTTTAAACACAAAGGTTCTATTTCTTGGTGATAAGAAGCCATTCTCTTGAATCTATGGTTGGTATTCATAATTCCAGGTTCATTCAAACACTGGGAGAAAAGAAAATAAAAGTAAGTTTTCCTTTATTTTTCAAGCCTTAACAGCTGCTCTGAGAGTACCTGGCTATTCACACAAGGATCACTGTAGTGTTTTTTCAAAAGAGGGACTGTTTAGCTTGTTCTATCTGTGTCCACTGCGTCTATACTTATATTGCAGGTAGAATGGGTGGTAATCAACAATAAACATATAACACCAAATCACAGAATTTATAGATTCTTCTCATTTAGGAGGCAGCAAGACTTCAAATTGGATTTATCTCTCATCAGCTCCAAATACCATATACAGTGGTAAACAGCCAGTTCTCAATTTCCAACACCAATCTACCTAAAGCAATGCAGTTCTGTGCTAATCCAATGGTTTTTGACCTTCCCTTCAAGAAGAATTTGGTATAAATAGTACTATCATACTAAACAAATATTACATTCTGTCATGTAAAAGGATGCCCCTTGGAAATATTTCAGCATTGAATTGTTTACTACTCAATCCCTAATTATACTCTGACATTAATGTATTATAATGTGATCTGTTAGTAATTTACATACTTGACACAAAAAGATAACTATGTTCATCATTCCCATAAAAAATTCAAATAAAACATTCATATATAAATCACTCAAACACAATCTGGTACTGCAGCTAAATTAAAAAGGAAATAAACTAGCACATTCTAAAACAGAGTCATAGATAGGCATCCCTATGTGTGATGTGCCTGTCTGGAAAGATCACTTTAGGAGATGCTTACTACATCTGCAATATGGCATAACATCCCAAAACATACATATTTACATTCCAGGTATAACTGCTGAAAATGGTTTGATAAGAAAACATTTTTCTATTGAGGCACTGTAAGGAAAACAAATTAGCTCAGGGAGTCTCAGACTTGAGTCCTCAGAAAAGCCCACTTCTATATTATTTTGTATGTGGCACAGCAGTTGTCTCTGCACTGAGGTGTACTCTGCAGTGTTTTAAAAACTGGTAAATAAGATTTGTTACAGAATATTAAACACAGCAAACGTTTCCTAGATTCAATGAAATTCAAGGAAAGAACTCTTCTAAGAGCTTTTGGAAGAAAAACACATGCTGGAGATTATAAGGATATCCCTCAGGCACAGGAGCTTGGACAACATGTAGAGTAACATGGTAGGAAGAAAAATACCGTGTATGCTTGCCTGATCCTTCTCTTCCCTAGACATCTGACAGTGGCTAACCTCGAAGGCAGACAGACTCTTGAGCCTGACCCAGTATGAATGCTTCTATTTTGTGTTTTACTGTGAACATTTTAGAGTTGTAACTCAGTCTTGTAAGACAGAAAGTCTTCACTCATGCAATTGAGTAGACAATTGAGAGGAAAAAGGGTCACTGGTCAGGACAAAGCTGCATTGACAGTACTATAACAGCATTGCACTGAAGCAGTAATTGCTTATAAAAGCCAGAGGTATGAAAGGTGCAATAACCACCCACACTATAACTAGTGCAATCAGCTTTTCACTTTCATAGTCCTGAATCCTCCTACAACATTAAATTCAATTAGGAGAGTGGATTGCCAGGACTGACGCAATAGAGGAGGATCTGTATTCTGCAACGCTGAAAGTAAAGTGACTCACAGCAGCGAGCCAGCCAGCTAAGGTAAACAAAATCGCTTTTTATCTTCTCACTCTGGATCAAAAGGAACACCTGCAGGAAGAAGGAAAAGGAAAGATTACACACGCATGTACTTTTAAAAAAACAGAAGGCAAACCTTCCTCATTTCAACACACAGATAAGATTTAAGTCACACAAACAACTGGTCCTGAGAAGAGTTTGGGTATGCAATTGCAGTGCAGGGGGCATCCCTCTGTGTGGAGTAGGTGGAGGATTCACACAGTGCCCTGTTTGTCAGGGGACTTGTGCAGCTTCAGAACACCAAGCTGTGCAGAGGGTGCGGCCTACCCTGAACAAGCGCCAGTGGGCGGCCATGCAACACAAACGGCACAAAAGAACACTGGCCTGTGGGAAAAGCTATTTGGAATGTGTTTGTTTAGAAAGCAATGCAAGCAATTGTATTAGCATCTTCTTGAAATACTACAAGTTTCACATGTAGATGAGACTTTCCTTCCATACATGTCAGATCATTCCAGGTCTGCAATAAGCCATTTCTAACCATTTCAGTTTCAGTAAAATTCTCAGGCAAAGCATTCATCTTTTGTACCTTACTGAACAAATACAGGTTTGTTACATTCTGCATAAAAAGGGATATGTGGGGGAAGTTATACATTTTAAAATGTACTCTGGCTTTTTTCAAAGGAAGAAAAAACCTATTTATGCCTCTCTCAAGTATATTTGTAACTATACTGGATGCTACTGACAAAAATCAAAATACCTTTATAGGAATAGATGCATGTACTGGAACAGCGAGTTATACAAATTACTGACATTTCTATTGCTTAAACATTCCTGATCCCCTAATTTAGAGGGGGAGGAGAAGGAGTAATAGGGAAGAAATTAAAAGAAAGCAGCATTATCACTGTAAGTAGCACTTTATCACGTTTTATTTTATTAAGTCCAGGGAGGTATGTTTTTAAATAACTTAGTAAGTGCTATATGTAGATGATTTACAAGTTTATGAGACATTGGGGAAGGCTGAGCTTTATATGGAACTGTCATCACGACCCAAGATCAGACATGAGGCCAGATGAATCAATGTAATTATATAATTCTGGTATTTAAATGCATCACCTATATAACATAAGTTTCTATAGAACAGCTTCTAAAAAACATAAGAGGAAAAATGTAGATTAACAGGAGTTTACAACTTTGTGTTTCTTTGTTGCCTAGTTGCTGCTAAAACTTACTTAGAGCATTATCATTTTTATGGAGTTAGAGGAATGAGCATAGCCTGCTAGCATAGTTTTGAAAGATTTTCATGATGCTAAGTGAATTGAAAGCTTGTTGAATTCAAATAGATATTCATCTTCCTTACAGTCTTGGATGCCTTTCTTAAAGAGAGATGCAATTTTGGGTCACAGAAACGAAGGGGTGAGGGTGCTGGATGGGAGGGTAGGTATGGGGGGGAGAGACAAGTTGTAAAGCCAGGGGGGCTCTATTATTGACAAACTTGGATAGTCAAAAAGTTAGAAAGACTGGAAAAACAAAACAAAACATAAACTCAACACCAACCAAACCTCTAGGATTCACTTTAGACTATGTGCTAAGGGATTTTTTCTGTGGCTTGTCTTCTTTTCTGGTCTTGTGGAAAATGTTGCTTCCACCTGCATAATAGTATTTACTTTTGCATATTTTAGTTGTAATTAAGTTTCTGCTGCACACAGACATAAAAAAGTACTGGGTGTAGAAGTTAATCTCTTCCAGCTGCATATGAATGCTGCTGAATAAGATACTGAGCACTTCCTCTTTTCCTCCCACATATCCCAGAGGAAGATTTAAAAAAAAAAAAAAAAACCACAAATTTCTAGAGACACCTAGAAGCTCTTAACTATTCAGTGTCTTTTACTTAGCATGCCCTACTCAGTCTGAACAGAAAGAGTGCCTGGGATCCCAGACAAAGCGTAGAAAATCTGATTAAGAGGCCATTCTTTGATCAATTAGAGGTAGCTGCAAGCACTCTTGTGATGCACCACAAGCAGCATGACTCCCTGTATACCTCACATTACAAGATTAGCAAGATAATCTTTTCTGAATAGTGCTCACTGAGAGTTTCAGTTCCCCTGAGAAGGGGAAGAAGATGTTCCACAGAACCTGCTTATTTTCAATCAACATGAAGATCTGAGTGAAGAAAAGGAAGGAAAGAGGGGAATATGGGGGAAATGTTTCCATTGGTTTTTTTTTCAAAAAAAATAAATACATACCTCTTCAGCTTCACTAAAATTGCCCATTGCAGCTTTGGCTTGGGCATAGTTGAAGTTAAAAGTGTCATTGTTGTAGAAGTAACTCTGAAAAATATGGACAAACCCCAAATAAATACAAACAAAAAACACCTCCTCCCATGATAAAACAACATTAAAAATACATCCTCCCTGCCTCAGTCAGACCATATAAAGAAGAAAACGGGAAGGAAAAGAAAATCCCACATTAGGAACATACGGTATTTTTAAACAGTGGGCAGAAAAATTATGGACTAGCTTTTCCATCCTACAGTCATGACTACAAACACTGCTGACACATTCCACAATATTAACTATGAGAGATCTGGAAAATCTTCCAAGCTTAAAATTGCAGTGGCAGCTTTTGTGGGTATAATTTTCACCTGGGGCATGTGAAGACATGCTGTGCTGGCATGGCCTCTTTCACTTCCTAAGCACTTATTCACCACTAGGGTGGGTAAATAGGCAGGTGACTCCCTTGAGTCTTAAAGGCAATTTAAGACACACAAAACAGTTTGTTCTTCCAAGACTTGTCAAGGTTTATCAAGAGATCCTGGGCATCTGGTTATGTGATGGACGCTAATCTGACAAAATGGATCTCATGTTGGAGGTGAAGCCACAGTACTGGGCTGTACCAGGCAGCACACCAGGTAACAGGACTTCTTTAAGCAAGCCTTGCTTAAAGATACCCTTCTCTCTAGTTCAAGTGCAACACTGAGTTTTTCCCTCCCATAACACTAGATATGAAACATCTGGTTTAGGGCACATCATATTCAACTAGCTGTATCTTCTCTGAAAAGCTACATGGGTCAAAGCAGGAAATGTAACTCAAGGTACAGGTTAGGCTGGTATTTGGAGTTGGTCTGGTCACAGTCAGTCTGAAGTATAACTCAGATGACCAAAAGTCAGCTGTGTTCTACATTCAGCACTGTCCCACACTGCTGGACCAGTAGAGCTGGCAGCGGTAAGATAGAACACAATACCAGATGCAAGCATGAATGGGATTGAGAATCCCTGCCCAGCAGCAGTGCAGTGCTTATGAGAGAGCATGGAGAAATAGGTGGTTTATCCAATATGGTTACTGCATGGAAGCATCTCTGTGTGCATAACAGCAAGGTGTAGGGAAGAGAAATGTTTTTCCTTCTACAATATTTATAAAGAAAATGGAACTTGTGTAGGAAGATCTAAATTTTGGTTTTTTCCCCTCTTCAGAGTGAGAAGGAAGTAAAAAGCATAGTTGGAACTGCAGAAAAGGTAAATGAAGCAAGGCACAAATCCCTTTCCGAGTAGTATCTTGTTTTGTGATGTAGGGATACAGAGGAACATCTTCCTTTCACTGTCACAGGCAGTCTACAAAGGGTACTGATTTAGTTCACCCGCACACATCAAGCTAGTGCCTTGAAAGGAAAGGTGAGGGATTGCCACTATTTGCCAGATGTCCAGGTTTCACCCAAACAGTCTACAGTAACATGCACAAGCCAGCAAATACAGCAAGCTGTGTGACAGCATGAGGATGAACCAATTGGGGTGAACCATAAGCTCAGTTTGTGAAAATATTTCAGTGCCCTTATGGTGAACTAACTATGGGTTTCACCATATGAGGATTACGACACTTTACTGCATTCTTTCCCAACAGTAGTTTCATGTGAATCAGCACAAGTCCCAGGTTAAGCAAAACTGGTGAGCCAGATGCTACTTTTACTGCATGAATGCTTTCTTCTGTTCAAGTAGACACCATTGCATTTTTTAATTAAAATGGAAAAGAACCTTTGTCAACAACCAAACTCAAAAAACATGTCATTCTGTCCTGGCCATATAAGTGTTAGAGCCCAGACCTACTCCAAAACCAAAACCAGAAGAAATTAACAAGTGCTGCTGATAATACATTCACAGCAGCTAATTTTTTTTTTTATTATTTTTTAACCATATTGTCTGTGCTGGACTTTACTCTTTTATGGTCTTATTAGAGATCTTCAATGTTTTCATAAAACCCATTGTCCTCTGAGTGACACCCACTTCAATAACATACTCAGATACCCAGCTTAAAAATGAAGAATTCCCATTGTGGCCACAACTCAGCAGAGCCTGAATCAGGTTGTTTTTTACTCAGTTAATCCCTGACAGTGTTATAATGTCACCCTTGGGGCAGCTGGCAATACATTTATGTCCTCTGAGGCTTTCTTACGCCTAAAGCAGTGTTAATTGATCATGGATGAAAGTGGTATTTCTTGAGAAAATACCAAGCAAATAATCTTCAGAGAGGGCAGCTCTATTTTAAGAGCTGCAGAGATTCAACTGAAGTTTATTCCTGTGAATGAAACACAAAAGTAAATCCATGTACATCTTGCCTATAACATGGTACAGAAATAATAATTTTTGTATTCCTGTGACCTATAAAGAAGAGAAATTACTTAAGTAAATCTAAGCATGTCTAGTCTCAGCTGCAAAATTATGAAAATGATCAATTACTTCAAAAGGAACAAGAAGGAAAAGTTGTAGTAGGCAGTAAATTTTTGTCCCATATACCTTGGAGGTGGTTTGTAATCACATTTAACTTTGACCTTTTCGGTTTAGAACTAGTTGTTTAAGAACCTTTTCAAGGAAATGGAAAGAGCTGAACTTATCTGTGGAGTAGTTAATTGCATTATAAATGTAGCAAATACACAGAATTAATTCTCTGGAAATTACCATCTATACCCATTGGCAATAAACTGAGACCAGATGACTGGCTCTAACTAGAAATCCAACTTTTAGATGGCTCAAGAAAGGCAAAGCAATTCTTACTGTTAATTTCCTTTTCTTCAATTACACACATACTCCAGTTTGGAGTGGTGGTGGTGGTGTATCTCTTCATTCCACTACAATGGAGCTATTCCAGCAGCTAAAGCCACTGGGATGTCTTCAAAAGTCTCCTTTTGAAGTTTAAAAACACTACACCATTTTCCCCTCACCAGCTGCTTTTGGGCTCCATTACAACCACATGATTTTCTTTAGATCTCATATGCCTTAAAACATTGTCGTTATGCTCATCCTGTGTATTTCCCAATTATTTTAATAATTTCTTTTAAGATTCTCATTCCTCTTCCTACTGTATTATATGGTAGAGACAGTTCATGTTATTAATGTATAAAATATTGTACAATCCAAACTATATCTTTTGACCATCCTGGCCGGGAGCAGTTGTCTTATTACATATAGTTCCTGGACGCGTGTTAAGATAAATATCGACGCTTTAATGTAGGAATAGAAGCTTCCAGGGTGATAATCGTCAGCTTCCCGGGGTTGCCAGGCCCATCTGAGAATGATTATCGCCCTGTCAATTGCATCTGTCGAGATAACCCTGATACACGTGAATACATGGCTTCTCCAGTGTTGACTGACAACATCGAGACACCTGGACTGGATCTTTGTCTACCTCTGCACATGTAAATCAAGGATGATGCATGTGAAGAGACACAAAGAGCATTTGGTCATCTCTGCCTCGGGCAGAATAAACTGTATAAAAACTCACTGAGCGAGGCAGCATTGGTGAACTGGGGAGACTCTGACACTCAGAGGTCAGATCCGTGTTCACCCGGCGCCGATCCCGGGCTCGACGCTGACTCTTTGGCTGTGGTGGTTTCAAAGACCAAACTTCGGTCTCGCAGACAAATTAATAAATCTTTGATAAATTTTCTTGTAAGTTTGGCACGTGATTTGATCATTTATAACACTACCAAACAGAGAGTTGTTTCAACTCTACTTCCAAACCACTGGAACAAGACTGCAATCATTTAATCCATAATTACACTCCAGCCTCCCTCTTTCCTCACATCTGACTTTAAATGTGTATCTGTAAGTTATACGCATTCTATGGGTATGCTGCATGTTGACTTCAAGCTTCTCTTATTTTGAAAAATGCAACATGGCCTGCAAGGTACTCAGATAACTTTCACAAAAATAACGTTCCTAACTTACTGCTTTGGTAATACTGCCCTATTTTAGCCCTTCAGCGACTGCTTTCTCCGTAAAATGGAAATGTTATTCCTTTCAGAGCCCTTCATGTCTTATCTTACACAGTCTTGTTCACTAAAATATTGTCCCCAATTATTAACCAGTGACAATAATCTCCATCACTTACTTGATAAGTCTTAAGAAAACATTTGGGGTTTTTTCCTCCATGCTGCTCATTCCATAAATATACACTTTTTTTTCATTGTTTACCTTTAATTATATTTCTTACCTTCTGTGATGCCCCCAGAAAGCCTGATAATGATTAGATTACAAGTGTGATGAGTCCATCATGCCCACCATGCTGCATGGTACATTCTAAATTGCTTCTTTACATTTTAATCCATTTACTGTACTGACCACTTATGTCCTGCTATCACTCCTGTGTTTTATTTTTACTGATTTGTTTCTGTATCTTTTTATGTTTCCACTGTGTCTCACATAGTACAGTTTAAAAGTAGTGATTTCATACATTACAATACTACCAATACAAAATAATGATACTAACCTTGATTGAGTTGAGGTAAATTAGGACATTAGGAAATTGTCTAAGAAGAAAGAAGCAGGAGGACATGCACTGTCTCCCTGGAATGGTATCTAAAATTCAAAACAGAAATGCAAATTTGTAGAATTTAAAAACACATGGTAATGGAAATCACTGCCAAGATTGCTGGCACCTCTGAAAGCAGCTAGTTTCTAAAAATAGTGTAGCTTGCCTTTTCAGGCAAAGGACCATACTGGAGGTTAGGAAAAACCATTTGTTCATCTTGTCAACTCTCTCTACAGTATCCAATAACTTTTGCAAGACTTTGTTCAACAGCAAACTCCACAGAGACAAATAACAATTTTACCACAGGCCTTTCCTGTGACACAATTTATATAGTATAATTTTACCATGAATTATTCTTATTTGTAGGAAATGACTCTTTATACAAAGCCTGGGTTTGCTATTCTGACACCATTAGCCTTCTTTCTTTAAAATTATGCTTTTCAGTTATCCTGGACAAAGAAACTCTACATATTTTAATTTTAGTTTGAGTTAGAGAGTAAACTTGTTATACTGAAAATATTGTTATAAAAAAGAATTAATACAGGAACGGGTAAAATACTAAGTGATATCAGACAGTATGGAAATAAATGTCCATGCATGTGGATTACTCCAATGCTCACAAGATGTAAAGCCATAAATAAGTTAGACATATCAGTTGGAACGAACATCACTCAACTTTGAAGCTGTCTATGTCATCATAAACTCTGCTGTAACCATTTTATGCTGTCACCTACTCTGACATTGCAAACTGTGTCACTGAAAACTATCTCAAAGCTTTTTTAGAGATTCTGAAGTGAGCTTACTAGGACTAATTTTTGTAAGCCAGCTAGCAGACATGGATGAACTCAGGTAGCAGCTGGGAAGGCTTAAATGGAAGTGATATCAAATCAATACTATTCCACTACATCAAGCAATCGTTGGAGAGGATGCTGCTCTGTGCAGTTTGAAAAGGTGACAAAAGATAAGATCTAAGGCTACCAATATCCCTGAGATAATCTGCTTCTGACTGTTGGTTATCATCAATCCATTCACATAAAAAAATTAAAATAACTTCTCCGTATAAAGAAATTTCATGTAACAAAAGACCAATATTTTGACTCTATACCGCCATACAAAATTGAGCATTCAACTGGAAAACAGATTATTCTCCCTTAAATATGGTAGGTAGTAATTATTCCTGGAAAGCCCTATATAAGATGTCAAAATACATTTCAAAGAAAAGCAAATATTCTCATTTTTTATCTTTTAGCACTAGGATATACTGAGCTTGGATGTCCTGTCATTTCCATATGGAGACAATCAATCCTTATCTGTGTCTGAACTATATCATTCAGTTCTCCAACCTCGGAAGATTATTTGGTTATTTATGAAGTGTTCACTTGGGAGCAGAAACTGGCCTGTATATTTATTTGTCCTTTTTTACATGCAGGTATAGTTTTCATGACAAATATGTGCCTTTACTGGACAATAACAGAAACAGTTTTATAAAAAAGAGCTAAGATGCATTGATTAACAAGACTAGAGATAGGTCAAAAATGCCTCTTTTTTCTTAAATTTGATTTCTGAAGTTCATAAAATCACAATTTATTTTGAACAAAATTTAAGAAATGCAAAACATGCAAAGAAGACTTAAAACTGAGGATGCATTTTTAGTAAAAATCAATCACAGTAACAAAATATTAGAAACAAAATATTTCCATAAATGATTCAAGTGTTTCTAAATTTTAGTATTTATTCTTACGTCCACATTTTGGCAGAAAGTTTTATTATCCCAGCACACCATCCTCTACATACTTTACTGAAAGATTCTGTTTAAAAAACCAAACAAGTAAAACATCTGTATATCTCATACAACTCAGCAATGAACACTACCTAGTGACAGAAAAACTACAATTTTCTAATTCACCCCATGTGGCTCATGCAGAAAGAGGAAAAATTTGCCACTTGAAAAAATTACTCAGAGTGACCTAAGAGAACCTTAAAGAAAAAAACTGCATGAAGTTAAGAAGAAATGTTTCATTCCTCTCACCCAACATCAAATATGCCTGAGTTGGTCCTAAAAGAAGACCACTGAAAACAAATGGGGTGCTCTTTTTCATTATACTTGCACTGGTTTTGGGTAGTTTGTAAGACTTATGCTAAGCACCAGAAACACTGCATTTATTGGGAATATTAATTTGTTTTCACTGATGTTCCTCTTGCCCCATTTCCTCCTTAAAAGAAATCTGATCTGTTTAATGTCCCACCCAGTCGATATCCTAGCAGAAAAGAATGAGAACTAGCTATAAAAATCTACTTATATCCTCCTTCATAATGTCATTTCATGTCATTAGAATTAAGAATTTTTATCAAGCTGAAAAAACCCCAAGCTGCTGTTCGGGTGTTATATCTGCTGCTGGAGAATAAATACTGACTCCTACACTCTAAGTGCTGCTTGGATGCTTTTTACTTTTTGTTTTGTCTGTCCCCTGTTGAAGTGCACAACACCCAACATGAGATAAAACTTTTACATTTAATGGAAATTACTTGCACATTAACTCAGTTTACTCCATGTTCCTTGAACTTCCAAGGCAGAGATCTAATTAAAAAAAGCAAAGGGCTTAATTGATGACTACAAATGACTTTACAAATAAATGACACTGTGTTTTTCCTAAACTCCTGTTGTTGCTTTTATTAATGCAGTCAATGGGATTTCTACAGTTAACAAATGCAAGCCACAAAAAATATTCCACATCTTAATTTTAATCCATTATTTCTTGATAAAACACATTAAAAGAAGAAGCCTTGTAGACTGTTGCTGTTTAACCCCAGCTGGCAACACTAAGTACCACTCAGCTGCTTGTTCACTCCATCCTCCCCTCCACTAAAAAACAGTAAAGCTTGTAGGTTAAGACAAGAATGGTTTGATAATTTAAATAAAATATTATTATTAATAATAATAGTAATAATAGTAATGAAAAGGGGACAGAGAGAGAGAGAGAGAGAGAGAGAGAGAGAGAGAGAGAGAGAGAGTGAGAGAGAGGAATAAAACTTGGGAGAAACAAATGACCCAGAATACAATTGCTCACCACCAACCCAGGCCCTCCCCAGAGCACAGTAAGCCCGCCCCTCCCAGCCAACTCCCCCTGGTTCCTGTACTGGGCATGGTATTCCACAATATGAAATAACCCTTCAGCTCATTCAGATCAGATGTCCTGGCCATGCTCCGTTCCAATTTCTCATGCAGCTCCTCACTGGCAGAGCATGGGAAACTGGAAAGTCCTTGACTTCGCAACAACTAAAACATCGCCGTGTTATTAACATTATTCTCATACTACATTCAAAATGCAGCACTGCACCATTCTCTAAGAAGAAATTTAACTCTATCCCAGGCTAAACTGGAACATAGGCCCAGTTGCAAGCAGAGACACAGCAATGGATTTCCTCACTCTAGCACAAAACTACCTGCTTCTGTATTATAAATCTGCAAAGCAGCTAAGCAACTTGATAAAGCTCTTAAAGGTCCTTGGAAGGACTAGCTGGATGGGAAGTGTTGAAGCATGATGTACATGCTTTAACAGCATGGCCGGCTACTTAGGAAAAGCCCAAGTATACAACAAGCAAGAATTCTGTTCTCTGTTCTAAATCCAGCAAATCAAATAACAAGTATTCAACACAGTGGCTAATATGCTAAGCTACGTAAAAACATAAAAGCTATTATATTGTATCAAGGTGTGTCTAGTTCAGTTTGCTGGCTGAAAATATGCAGCTATAGAAAGAAGATATTCTAATTTCACATATAATACATACTGTGGTATGTAATGGCACTTCTGCTAAAGTTTATCCCAGCTTTCAACAATCTACTGAGGACTTCCTAATCACTGCTGAAAATTTTGTGTTAAGCAGCCAATGGCCTTTTCATCGACAACTTTTTTAATACATTCTGGTTCTCACAAGTTTCTCTATCAAATAATTTGTGTTATCTGAAAAAGTAATTAATGCTGTTTATTTTAATTGTCGTAAGTGACAATATACGTCAATGGTCTTTGATTTTTGTATTGTACAGTAAATAATTCTTCCCTATTCCTCTTTTCCTTGTCATTTATGATGTACATAATGAAACTCAGTTATCATTTTCAGCCCATGTATTCTGCTTTATTAATCTCTCCTTTTCTTCTACTTCAAGAATCCATCACCTTTCTTTGATCATCCTTGCTGTATTTATTGTATCCTTTCTTGATCTACCATTTTTTAAAGAAATGTAAGAACCAGAACTGTAGACAGTATTCAAGGAAAGGAATCACATTGTATACAATGACAGTAATTATTTTTGTTTTCTCTTTCCTCATCAATTCTTAAGATCCTCTTCAACTTTTCTGATAATTTTGCTAAATTTAATTTGCATATTATTACCCAGTCTTGTATAGTCTTTCACATCTTTCATCATTGTAGAAGCTTTTATTTGTACTACTATAGGTAATTTTGTACCATTGGCAAACCTTGTCATGTCATTATTTGTCTCCTATAGCTCATTAATTATGAATACAAGCCCTTTCTTTAGAGAAACAAAAGGTTCTTTCAAGTGTTCAAATCAGGTGCATTTTATCCTTTTCTTCCCTATAAATTTTCTAATTTTCTGCTAGAAATGAGGAAGGTTATTATGTATGTAGCTTCTCTTCTTAGGATTAGTACTGTGGACATTTTTTGAGGTATTTGCTATCACACAGATTTTGAATTTGATTATACTCAAATGACTGTAGTACAATTGTAATTTCATTATAAAATTTCAACTCAAGTGCTATGTAATTCAATATTGGTCCAGAGTTACCTGTTCACTTGTTCCTTCTCTAAGAAAGATAGAAACAAAAAGTTCATGCTGTTTATTATGCCATGTAATTGCATTTATTAGGTCGATATGGGCAGAACAAAAGTCTCCAACTATTATTTATCTTTCTATATAAAATCTGTAATCTGTTTAATGTGCCACTCACTCTTCCTATCCAGGCTGGCTGGTGAATAATTTGGCTTCAATATGGTGAGTTGCCTATCTAAACATATAATTGAAAACAATATTATGTTACTCACTGATAAAGAAAATATATTTATTTTGAGAGAAGTTTTCTATAATATTTAGAACCATTTTCCCACTGGCATAATCTACTTATCTATATTTATGTATGTTGATGTACAACCTATGTTTATTTAATACAATCCCTATTGTACATTAGATCCCATCCCATTGACATTAAATACATTAATATCCTACATGTTACTTTCCTCCTATCATATAAAAAAATTATTTTAGTTTTTAGCTTCCTCTTCTAAAATCAGGCATTTCACTTTATCCAATTTCTTTAAAAGCATCTAATATTTGTATAAAAACACTTACATACTTGGGCTTCATGTGCTTGGTTTTTCATTATATCCTACCTAAACAGAACTGTTTGCCTCTTCTATTTCCTATGTACAGTTTGATGATCTCCATCTGTTATTCATTTGAGGTTAAACAAAACCCCTCACACTATTTTACCTTTAAAGGAATTGCCCTGAACTGTGTGGTCTTCTTTATGGCATTTCCTCCCACAAACTTTTAAGAAGATGCAAAAACAATTCTTATGTGGAAGTACCACAAGGGTCAGATACTCACAGTACTGATCCTTCCTTTTACCTCTGATTGGAACCAATCCTTCCCATAGGTTTGTTTTTTTCAAGTAATCCACCTTCCTAAGTGTACTACACTTCTACTGCCATTCCCCCTACTATTGCAAGGTTGAAGTCTCAGCCTCTCTATCTTTATTTTGCATATGAGTTTGAAAGTATTTTACAGTAAAATTCAGACTTTTGGCTTCCCAACAATTTCAATTTTGGGCTATATCTTCGCAAGAAATCCTTCCCTGACTATCTTTTCCCTGACTATCTCTGTATTATTTTTGTCCATTTGTGCTCTGGTCACTCATCACACCTGCATGACTGTTACAGGCATTAAGATGTTCCCCCTAACCGAGTCCTCCACTGCTATAGCTCATATTGTTTCTTCTGTTTTCTGGGATCCCAACTCTAAAGAGATAGCTTCTATACAAAAGGAAGGAGTTAGGGAAATCTCCTCTATGGAACCACTTCCAGCCTTCCAACATGAAATTCTCTGATGCATGACCTCAGTAGTACCAGGGCTGCAAGGGGAGCAGAATAGAATGGCTCAACAGTATTTCTGAGTATTTCTTTCATCAGTGATGCCACTCTGTCTCTGGAGCTCCTTCTCTTTAGTCACCATGGACACAGGAGACAGCATTCACTCTCTGAGGACCATGAGTTGCCTGCACCATAAGCATGCACAAGTTATCCACCTAAGGAAACAATACTAGGTGACAATGCCTACAAAGGAAACTGGGAAGTCCCATTAAGTCTGTATTTCTATGTTACAACTACTGACTTCTTTTCATTTGGGAATTTTGGTTTCGGCAAAGAGAAGGGAAAAGAAGAAATTGGTTTGGTCTATTATTGAATAAGTAAAAATAAATACTGAAACTATACTGATCTTGGGGCATGGTGGTGGGTGGGTTACAATGCCTTTTTTTCTCTCTTATTCAAGCAAGAAGTTAATCCCAGAGCTTTCATTTATCCCTGTAGCCAAAGTCCTCTTTACATTTTTATGACCCTCAGTTTCAGAGCACACTCCATGCTAGGACTCTATGTACTCAACAGGCTTTCATTAGTGGTCCTAGATTTGTACCTGTGTATCCCTGCCTGTAAGGTTTCAGCTGCTCACTTCATCTAATTAATTAGGCTGGTTCCTTCTGTTTCTCTAATGGGATTATTAGGCAAAGGCAAGCTGCCATAGAGTCTCTCAAAAAGACTTGCAGTTTGCAGTAAAGCCTCTTCTCCAGAGGAAGTCATACAGTAAGGTTTGGAATTGAAACTTCTAATTTAAACTTTCAAATTTGTTTTAGACCTTTTGAAACTCATCCTATAGAAACAAAAGCCTAGCAATATTCCTGCTAACAGCCAGCAGTTAGACACAGATATGATGGTATATACTTGGATATTTTAAGATTGCTTACTTAATGGAAAAAGAACATTTCAAACATACCACATTCACTGGCTGATTCCCCCACCAACTGGAAGAACTGTTGAGCAATTTTCAGATGATCTCTCTGGAAGAAGAATAAAAAAGAAATCCAAGATGAGTTACAGGGCTGATGCTACAATACACAGTGAAAATACAGTCTGAGGAACACTTAGGGAGCAACTAACAAATAAACCAGGGCTGAAGCAAAAAGAGAAAAGGTAAATGTGCCATTCCCTGTGGCTCGATAAAGAACAACACCATACAAAGCAAATGGGGGTTTTGGAAGTAGAATAGAGAAATCAAATTCATCTTGATCTACTATCAAGACCAGCAACAGAAATTTGCATTTCACTCATTCTGGACTGATTACTGTACAGGAGGTTAAGACACACAGAGATCCTGCAATCTAAGAAATTACTGCCTCTTTCACTCCATTCCAGTTTCTACAGATCTGTTCACATTGTGTTGTTGGAGAAGTTGGAGAACCTCATGGCTTTACCCACCGAGCCCATTTCTTGTCCAAGTGCTGCATTTACCACCCCTTTGAGGATGTACTCCTGGAAAAAAAAAAGTTAAAGGGATCAGAGAAGACATGGTGAAGATTTCAGAAGACACATAAAAGCCTATGTGTGCATTATTCTTCATTAATTCAACTCTGTCACAACTGGGTTTGGTAGGCAGCTCATTAGTGTGGTATTGCTTAAGCACTGTACTAATTTAGTCCCCCAAAATACATTCTATTTGCTAGGTAGTTCCTTCTACTAAATATGTTAAATGCAAAGGGGTACTGTGTTTTCTGGTAAGTCTTATGGTCAAAGACAATGCACCAGGAGGAATATGGTAACATCCTTTCATGCCCTCTTCATCATCATATCACCAAGAAGTGTGTAATTGTTATACCAAAGCACAGATCTCCTTTCAAATACGCACATTGGTTAACCATAACCACTGACATCCTTGCTGCAAAATTCATAGTGTTTCTCATCAGGGCAAATATGTTAAGAGGTTTGTGCTCTGTGGCCATGTTACTCCAGTGAAATTAGAAACAGAAGTTGAGTACCTTCTAACCTCTAGTAGGAGAAACAACTATAGTTTAATTCTTCTCTGAACAAATTTTTCTCAGTGTGTAACAGACTCTTTTGTCCTACCTAAATCTTATAATTAAGAGTTATATCTATAAATCTGTTTTAGTAGGTACTCTTGATAAATTAGGACGACCCTGTTACAGAGGTAAACACAGAAGAAGAGAGACATCTTTCAAGAGACCAAGAGACCAACGAGAGAATGTAAAGAAATATTCTGAGAGTACTACCCAGGATAGTAAGAAATAATTTTTGCACACCAACTGTCTTAGAGATGCCAAATTATTATCCTACAGGCATTGTGACAAAGAAGAAATTTGAGAAGTACTCAAGTAGGTTTTACGAGTAGTTTTGCAAGTGTTAGCAGGGAGTTCTTTAAAAGTGTGAGTGAGAAATGGAAAAAAAAAAAGCACAAAGATTCTCATTTCAAAATGTGATCAAGAATTAAAAGCCAAGTATATTGGGACAATATCCCACAATAGGAACAACAGCTGCAGAAAACCATTCAAGTAAGTTTTGCTATACTGAAAAATGCAAGGAGTGTAAAGCGCCATCAAAAGATACTGCTCACTCCTCAGCACAGAATCACCGGATCTGTGTTTTTGAGGTTTTCCTTTTCCCTCCCTCCCTCCTTCCCCCCCTCTCTCCATCTAATTCCTTACATAGACTCATGAAAGGTCCCTTTTATGCCCAGCTATGTGACCTTTGGAAAATAAACAGCAAAGAGGAATAAATCAGAGACGAAAGATGCTGGAATAGCCACAGAAGAAAATTACAGTAGCAGCCAAGGAACAACTGTACTTTTCACTCATGGCAGCCAAAGTGATGGGATTAGAAAATACCATTCATTAAAACTGTTTAATCTAATCTAGCTAATTTCAATTGAAATAGCTTCAGGACAACCTATATGAGCATCTGAGCTAGCAAATCTAAGGGATGAAAGCCACACCAGGCAGACAACCAGCTATAGTTGTAAGGGAGCTTTTACCTATGCAGTAATGATCCATTTCCCAAAACCAAGGCTGCACACATCAGAGCTGTATTCTTAGCTAAACCCAGGTGGTACAGTAATAAACAGGCTAAAGTACTCATATAGGCCCATATAAAATACTTCATGCATGTACATTGAATTTATTGTTGATGAAGGGCTGAAAACACAAGGGTTTTAAGAGTGGAAATGGGGCAAGCTGTCCTCAGGATACCAGTTTTGTAAGTGGCAGATTTCATACTGGTTTATAACCTCTGTCTTTATGTGTCATGACATCATTTTCCAATTACCTGTGGAGCTGTAGGTTCCAGGTCCTTAATCAGGTTATAAGCCTCCTGCACATCATCTGAAATGCCAGACATTAGAATGCATGACAACTCATAGCACACTGTATTAGAACAAGTCACTCATCCTCTACAACAGTCCCCAATAGTCATAGACTAAGAAATAAACCACTTAGACAGGAGGAGAAAGGTGATGATAAATCATTGTGCATTTCTATCACAATGGTGATAGTTTTCTAGAACTCAAATAACAAACACAGAGTAATATCTTCTTTACCACTACAGTTTTCCTAGCAGAGATGGTTTGGTCCCTTTGTTCATAATGCAGTGGCTGCCTTCTCAACAGCACAAGGTCAAAATAATAAATCCATCATCTTCCTCTATTTTGTTTTCTCATATTTATTTAGCCCACAAAGAGAATAGGCTAACATGATGCTGTAGGAAAACTTAATCTTTTCCTTAGTAATATTTCAGCATCTGTCCAGCAGATCCAAATTAAAAAGGAAAAAGCACTACTAGTATTGAAGTTTAAATGTGAAGTTTAAAATCTAAAAATAACTTCACTTCCACACAAGAATTATATAAACTGAATAGATCATAAACTTTCCCTGAATTAAAAAATATGTTGGCACTATGGTTGGCTTTGTAAATCAACCTAGTGAAGATCCTCTGCTACTGGCAAAAATTTTGTTAATACAGCATTACACCAACTGCCCATACAAATAAGCCTTATCAAACATAATTCTTTTCACTAGAACATAGAATCCATGCAGCCATTGAAGGCAATATGCACTGGAGCTGCCAGGCTCTCATCCATAACCTCTGCTTTCTTACCTACTCCCTTGAACAGTTCACATAGTAAGGCAGCATTACCTTTGCTTTTCTTTTTTCCCTTTTTTTTTAAATATATTTTTGGCTAGGTCAGACCACCACCACCACAAAAAAAAAAACCCAAAAAAACCAAAAAAAACCCAAAAAACCCCAAAAAACCACCAAAAAAAAAGACAGTAACTCTTATTTTTATTAATCCAGTGTAGACTATCAACACAGGACTATGCTCTTCAGGCTCCAACAGAAGCGACTAGCAAATCTCACGGCAGCAGACTACAGCAGGATACCAGCTGACCTCAAACCCTGCTAGAAGTCACTATGCTGAAGAGTTAAAAAACAGGATGCATTTTCGTGCTTCAGTCATTCCAGTTCAGAGCATATATCATCAGCACAACCCTACGTTTATCAGAAATCTTTTCAGTTTTGGAGAGACAGCTGTTGTCATCCGAAGTAAGAATTTCTCACTTTCCTAAGAAAGTTGCTATCCTAGCAAGACTTAAAAATGGAAACTTAGCCAAACCAGAAAAGAGGTTTTAGTCCAAATTCCCCTTGATCTTTGTCAGTACACGTGTTATTTGTATATCACAGTAAAGAGAAGAATCTAACTAATGAAAATTAGTGCAAGGTTAACAGCATATGAGTGAACATGACTGATTTTTAACTGATGCATGAGATGTACTTTGTTTCCATGTAAGTAGAACTTAATTTGACACATCAGTTATTATTAACAATATTGCTGTGCAAGATAATTGGCAATAGTACCAATATTGCCTGTAAGTGACACTGGTAATAATAATATTGGACAGAAAGGTGGCTGGGTACAGCAGACATGGATTTACCAATGCCAAAATGTACTCAAGGTGTGACTGATTGTGTGAATAAGGAGATAAAGGTTGATGCTGTATACCTTGACTTTAGCAATGTCTTTGAAATGATCCCTCATACAAACTTGAAAGATGGGACTGGCTAAGTAAAACTGTAAGGGGATGGAAAACTGGCTGGACTACCTAAGAACAGTGACCAGTTGTACAAAATCCAACAGGTGGCTCATCACTAACCAAAGCCCCCGCGACTGATACTGTTGAATAACTGATTTTTATTAGTGATCCAGATGATAGCATGGAGTACTCTAAACAAGGCTGCAAATGATGAAAGATTGTGAAGAATGCTCCCAGATATGGAAAAGCAGCTCAGTAGGCTGAAAAAATGGGCTGAAAGAAATCTGATGAAGTTCAGTTGAGGCAAAATTGCATCTTGCTTGGTTTGAAACATGCCTGAGCAGGTGAACTGGCTAAAAAGCAATTTGGCAGACAGTGCAGCCTTGCAGCAAAGGAGGCACACTGGATCATATTAGCATGAATGGAGCCATCACAGCAAGGGAAGGAATTCTTTATTTGGCACTTCTGAGGTTACACATGAGTATTGTGTCCAGGTTTGGGATCTGACAATCCACACTGACTTTGAAACCCTGGAGTGAGCCCACCTGAGGGCTCCCATGGCAGGAAGAGGGCTGAGGAGAAACTGAGAGAAATGAGTTTGTTTAGCCTTCAGAAGAAATGACCTCAGGGGAGATCTTCCCACTGTCTACAATTAACTGATATGAGGATATAGAATAGATGGAAACAGGTTCCAAAGAGTGAGAGAAAGGCAATGGACTCAAGGTAGAACAGAGGAAGTTCTAACTGGATGCTTGTCTGGACAAAGCTTTATCTAATTGGACCTGCCTTGAATCACACAGCTGGTCAACCCACTGTTGAATAAAAGAACACAATGGGAGAATAGGAATAGCTCTGAAAAACTCAGATATAATTCAAAGAAGCCGGCAAATACAGGAAAGATACAAGCAGAAAATCCTTACCAACTGATTCTGGCTACCAACATGCATTCTTTAGGAATTGTAAAGTAGATTTTAATGAAATATATTGTTCACAGTCACTTTGGTTCATATTTTGTTTGTGCTGTATTTACAGAAATGGTTGTCCTTGCCTTTACAGGACATATGCCTATCATTCTCACATATTCAGGCAGAGGAGAGGTCCCCTCACTAGAAACAAATAAACACTACCATCCCCAAAGCCATCCTCTGCAACCCAAAAACTCCAATACTCTGCTAAAGTAGGCTTTTTTGGAGTGCACAGTATTAAAGCCTTCTCTGCAAACCATGGGAACTGTTACTTTGCTATTTTACAGAGTGAAAATAAATTGGAAGGGAAGTGAAATAAATTACATTTTACTGCAAAGAAAAAAAAACAACATTGAATAAGTTGTGATAAGATGAATTAATGTCATGCCTGAAGCTATGAAAGAGCCAGAGGAAGGTGTATTTACCTTGCTGGAGATAGTAAATCACAAGATTCAGTCTTGCCTCAGGAATAACATCAACCAGAGGAGGCAGGACTTGCAAAGCCCCTTCTCCTCCTCGGAAAACCACCTGAAGAGAAAAGCAGCATACTGATAATCATGTATCAGAATCTCTTCTCTGATAAGTTAATTCAAGGAAATTAATCCTTAAATTCCTGCATAAACAGTACTAAAAGGTCAGTGGCTCTGGCATTAGTTTAGTTCCTGCGTTTATATAGCTGTAGATTATACAGTGTGACAATCTTTATTCTGAAAAATAGAAGTATTTAATCCATATGTAAAGATTAACTTATTTCAGCTTTTAGCAGCTCAAAAGAGTGATACATTATATATCAAAGATTTAAAAGAATAACATAGTCTGAGTGAAGGGAACACATACAAAACTATAAACTGCTTATGATGTTTTCATATGAAAAAATTAGGCTAACAACTCCACATTTATTGACACAGGACTGAGTGACACAGGATCCTAAAATGATCAGGAGCAGTTGGTTATACTCTGGTTTCACATGATAGTTCCGCCAACAAGATCTAATGTACTTATTCAATAAAGCACTGACAAAAATACCAACATACAAAATAACACTAACTTTAAAAAGTCCAGTTTGAAAGCAGTTTTAACTCTTGGAGAAAGAAATGTTAGCTTGTGATGACTGCTCTTGAAAAATGACAAGGCAAGTAACTACCTGTCATTAAAGATGAGCAATCTACTGTTACCAGTTGTTCAGCAAAATAGCAATACCACTGAAAGAAAAATTAACCATTAGTTCCTCTTAGTGACTCTTTTACTGCAGAACACAAAAGTATTTTGCTTTTACGAGAATCTTTTTTCCTAGAACTCCCTGCTTAGTACTTTTGGGATGAAGCCATTTTCATGAGCTATCTTTATTCCAGTCAAATTGTTCTGGTACTAAATAGAGCTCAGGGTCATTCTGACTTGTTTCTACAGTGTCTTTACTGAGTGGGCTACACAAAGTATCTTGCATAGGTACCCTTACACAACATACATTATTTTAATATGCCTTCAAGACTAAAAGCAACAGTATTATTATTTTCTTGACACAGTCTCAAACTGTCAGGGAAAAATTCCAGGAAAAAAGTAAATAAATACACTTGATAGCACATTCATTATACTGGTAGGATTCCTGGAATGGGACTTATATGGCAGCAGAGACTCAATCAAGTCTGCAATTTTTCAAAATATTCCAATTTATTAATCATCATGAAAAGCTCTACAAGTGAGTGCAGTTCATATTAAATCCCAGAAATGCTTTACTTACCAGATTGTGCTTAATGAGCTCCTTGCCAAATTCAAAAGATGATGAGGCACTGTCTGTCAAGTTTTTGAGCTCTGCCTGGAATTACATACATTCCAAAATTTTAATATAAAACCAAAAAAGCTCAGAAGTCTAAGTGGAGCTACAAATGAGCTTCAAAGCTGACACCAAAACATCTCCATTGGTGTTGGATGACTAGAAGATTTTGCCTTTCCACTTCTATCTAATTATTTTAGCAATTGCGTAATACATATAAACACAAAACCAAAAGGGCACTGGGAAAATGGTAAGACCACTGGGCACATATGTGGACAGACGGGTTAATGTCAGGGAAACTGAAATAGGTGACATTTCCTATAAGAACAGAGTGGCAAGGTAAAGGCCATCATCAACATTACTGATTAAGACAAAGGAAAAGAAACATGTATGGAATCTTAAACTAAAATAAAGATGAGTTGAAGGACTGTCCAATAGATACCTCTGCAGCCTTTCCATTGTAAAGTCGGAAATGGTTACAAGCCTTAAGGTTAAGAGCAATGGTGCTGTCAGGAACTTGCTGAAGATAAACAGCTAGCACTTCCTGTGAGACATCATAGTAATCCAGTTTGTAATAGCACAGGGCCACATATACATTCAGAGCCAGGTATTCCCTGCAGGAAAGTGGATTAAAGAGAACCTTTAAATCCCACCAGATAGTTTAACATTTCCCCACTACATCGCATTAAAATCAGTAAATAAAAAGAAAGCTTTCACAACTATACATATTTTACAAACACATCAAAACTGGGGCTTCTGAGAAATGCTTAGGGCTTCTCTAGTTTGTCAGCTAGGACACATTCACAGTATTTTTTTCCACAGCAGCTACTGCAGCTTTTAAAAATTACCAACCGAACTTTTGGTTTGCAAGTCTGGGAAATAGCGGCAACTTCACACCACGGAAACGTGCAGAACATGAGCATCATAATTGGCCTGGCAGAACATGATTTTCTAAGCAATATACTCAAAGACATTTAATGTGCCCATAAAAGTTTGTACCAAGTACAATTATTTCAAAAAATCCTTGTCATTACAAGCAGTCAAGCCAGAAGAACTGGACAGAAAAAAGACAAGCATTTGTGAAAACTCTAAGTAAAAGGATAATCGTTATGAAGGTTACTCATTTAGCTTTGAGTGATTATTTCTGCAGGACTTGGAGGTTAAAATCTCTTTCCCAAGCATGACATGATACATGCATCATGATGGATTTCTCTGAAACGTTCAAGAGGAGATTGATAGCAGTATTCTGGGACAGCAGTTTCTATTTTCTTAAAAATACTTCCAGCCACTTAGGAATTCAAATTGTTCCTTGTTAAATTCTGAACTAAAAATTTGCAGAACATGACAGAAAAACTCATCAACAAGTATCACAGAAGATAAACAGAGAAGGAAAGAATTTAAGACTTAAAGGAATGCAAGGAACTCTACATAAAACCCAAGAACTGAACGCTTCTAAGAAAGGCTAAGATGTGTAGGAGAAGTCAATAATTCAAGTCCCGAGATTGGCCATCAGAGGGGAAAAAACAAAAAGACAAAGCAGGTACATAACCATATATAATTTCAGAAGAAAAAAGTAACAAAATAAAAAAGATATCAGAATGAATTAACCAATAATTTCAGAAGAAAAAAGTAACAAAATAAAAAAGATATTAGAATGAATTAACCAATAATTACACAAAATGAAAACAAGAGAGAGCAGACTTCTTTTTAAATGTGGGGTTTTCAATAATATTTTGAATGAACAAAATTAAGGAGCTGCAACTGGTGCGCATTCTGTGATGAGAAAGGGACACAGCAGTTGTTGAAAATGTCTACTTTCAGAAACCAAGCAACGATTTGGAATATAAATGCCACCAATAACACAGATGCTCCAATAGGGATTAGAGATGCACACCGATTGTCCAGCAGAATGCGCTTGTAGATATCAATGGCTTCTTGGTAGTGGGACCGCATGTAGTGGATGGATGCCAGGCTCAGCTGATCTTCTGTAACATCCTGCAGGTTCTGGTGAGAGCTCATCAGTTTCTTTTCATCACTGAACTAAAAAGAGTGGGACACATTGTCAGAAGAATTCAACAAAAAAAGCTTTTTAATTAAACAGGTTAGTTTTGTCCTTGCTGGTAAACACCATTAAATATCTGGAAAACTGCTGTTACTTTAAAGTTAATTTGACCAGTAGAGAAAGACAAACATAAAGAAGCAGGTGAGTTCAAATTGAATAAATGTTAGGCCAAAACTAAGCACACATTTTCCTTTAAGGTATGATTTAGATATAATTACATGTCATGTGCTTTGATGGATAAGAGGGAAAGAGCTGAATTAATTCTTTCACAAATGGAATTTCGCAACACAAAATTTCATTGTAATTATTCAAGCCAGCAAAAATTTTGCTGTTTGTAGATCCAAATCTAATGTCTCATGCATAGCAGAAAAACACAAGACTTGCAAACACACAAGCCCTAATTTTACTAGTCTTCTTAAACAGCACTAACAAGTTCACTTCCACCAGCCTCCAATTTCTAGTTTCATTAAGTAAATAATTATTTTTAAAAGCATTTCTGAATAGCACATATAACACACACACAGAAGGCTAAAAACAAGGAACAGAGTTAAACATGCCCATTATATTTGTATTACAATAGTGAGGTTGAGGCTATTTACCAATTGGTCTGCTCAAATCACTTATTCCACTGCTTCCCTTTGCTGGTTTTGCTGATTCAACAGTAATTATGAATTTCTCTTAGACACAATTTGTAATATTATATATTTCTTTTTCCACCTATCTGCTAGTTTTCTTCAAATGCTTCTCCTCTCTCTTTGAGCCAATCACAAAGTTAAAGGTAAGATATGTTGCTTAACAGAACTAAAGGCATTGGGCTTCGTAGCTTTGGTGAAACCATTTATTTCCAATGACTTACTAGATAAAGAGAAGTTGCATATTTCCTAGTTCATCACAGATGTCTGTAAGCGCCAATGCCACTGAAAAAAAGGCTTTAAGATTTCTCTCTTAAAACTAACAGATATCTAAGTAAAGAGATTCTGACATCAAAGCTAACATTCAAGATTTATACATCCTTTTAAGTCAGTATCATTAGTAGCAGAATGTTTCTTATGTATTCTGGTACAGGATGGTATAAAAGCTAATTTAAGGGAAGATACCTATGTGTAGTAAGTGAAATAAGCACTTAATTATTGTTGAAATTAAATTAAATTTCATGCTATTAACAATATGATTTCCTGGATACTGAACCAGGACCAGTAACAGCATATACACCATTTTGGTCAAATTGCTACATATAAAAGAGCTGCAAGTTAGGAAAACTTGGTACATTTAGGAAAAAAAAAGTAAAATAGTGGCTTCTGCATTTCTGATTCTATTAAGGTTTCAGGCTCCTCATGATCAAAAAATATCACTACATTTCTATTGTGCAACTTATGTGAAGTGTACTGGTAATACTTTCCTTAGAAACATGCTGAGAGCATCTATTCTGAGATCATGTTTTCATACTTGCTTTCTCCTCCACATTTTAATACAGTAGGGTGGTTATGAAAGATGTTTGTTCTTCTGCCACCACAGGCATTTTAATTATTCTGCCAGGCTGCCAGCATAAATTACACATTAGTAAATTGAAAAGAAAACAAACAAAGCAGGAGTGAAGGAAAGACATCATACCTTATGTGCCAGGTGAAAGAGTAAACGGTTCTGGAGACCACTCTTAGGTGCTGAAAGGGAAATTCAGTAAGTATTATTATAATGAACTACTCGCAGTGTATCTCTTTATATTTTTAACTTTCTTTCTCAATAGATATGAATGCACCCTTACTCTTTCATTAGCTAGCCCAAGTACAGATCTTCACTGAGAGCCTTTGCAGATCATACTTTGGGGGAGGTTCTACCAATTTTAGAGTGGTTTAGAGGTCTTCCTCATTCCTGTCTTCATTCCCTGACTATTTCTTTTTAAATCCCTGTTGAAAAAAAATTTTCATTGGCCTCTACCTTCAATAAGACTTAAAACTTCTATGAATTGCATTATTGTTTCCCTACAGCGATTTCTCAATCACTCTCTTTTTGTGGGGTTTTTTGTGAGACTTTTTCAAATTAAAAAGCAGCAGCAGGTAAACTCAAGGCTCCTTCTATATGTGTCACATTTGAAATAAGTTTGGATTTATGATTCCAGGAATCTCGATAACTTCTAGTGTATTGAAAAACCCAGTGCTGCTACCATTTTGTTAGGTATGCACATTACATGATACCTCTAATATTTCTTCTGTCCTTAGGAATGAAAGGCACACAAAAGAATTCTATGGACAGAGCAGATAAGATTCAAACTAAGAGATTAAAGAGGGATCTTTTCTTACTAGAGCCAGTAAAGTGAATGAAATTTCTTGCTCCAGCAGGATTAGGAATTCCATTGATTTCACTCCATATGACACAAATTGTAAACTGCAGAGTTTTAAGTCACTACAGCTTTTTGCTTCACCAAGAGCTGCACATGTCCTGGTCAAACAGAGCTATTCATTTCTTTTGCAAGCAATCTTCCAAAAAGCCTTCCCTTGTTTCCTGTGCTTATCCTAGCCTAATGAGCACTCTCATTCTTGCTCAGACCAACCAGCTGGCAAAGCATGTTCCACAGAAGGGGTGTACATGGAATCTTTACAAAAAGCAGAATTACTTACTGTGTTTATAAGGCCACAAAAGTGCAGAGTTAGCACAGCAATAGCCTGTAACACAAGGCTGTAATTCTTCTGACATCCTAAACCATAAAAGAGGGCTCAAACCACCAATCCCTCTTCCCCACCACCCCCTGAAGATGGAATTTATTTTTAAAGCAATTTAGGGAGAGATTTCCAGGTTTCTTATTCTTTTTCCACATAGTAGGTAAACTTTGTAACACAGTGGACAGTGCCAAAACCCAGGCCATTCTGATAAGATTGTCAGCACAAGGCTGCCCACCTACTTCTATAAGCACAGCAACTATTTCTTCTCTTTTTTCCTTAGCAAGCTGTGTTATTCAACTGTGTTTCTAGAAAAATTAGGACAGTTAATTGTATTTTTAATGAACTACTAGAATAGAAGACCAAAATACAAAGGTGGTATGAAAGCATTCTCACAAGACCACAAAATCTTGTAAGATAGTTCTAACAGAGCATCAAGTTGTTGAGGAGCTAATTGTCTTCAGCCTAGGATATACGTGGGAATTAGGCTATTTATTAAATAACAGAAAGTTTCTGATTTACAATAAATACTGGATAGGCAGCTGTAGTAGTATAACTGACATGATAGTATGTATATTTCATCCAGCGAGTTAGAAAGTGAAGAGTACCTTAATTTAAATGCATGCTTTTTACTCTACATGTTCCCCAGCATTAATTGATAGGTTTCTATATCAAAGTTTAGAAGGGTTGCACATGGACCCTACCTGTGCTTTTGTGAGAAGCTTCAACCACAACCATCCTTCACAATTCAAAACATTTGGTCATCAAAGACTCCAAAAATACAAGCAGGACATATTGTGGGATTTTTACTGAAAATAACATATTGTATAATCAGAGCACCATGGGTAAAGACACCAATGTTCCTTTTTTGAGTAGGTTTTCCTTTTTTTTTCCCCTTTTGAGTGTGTTTTAGCATTAATTTCACTGTGAAAATTGTGACTTTGCAAGCAATACTGTCAAGAATCTAAACCAAGGAATTTTTGTTTCATTGGTCAACCAGGGAGTGCAGGCTACCCTTGCAAACCTGGCATCTGATCTGACATCAAAATTGTTATTTACTTCTTGGCAAAAGCTGGAACGTTACCCCACATTATTTAACACTTAAAACCTGGCGAAAGATGAAATCTGAGTTTTGATGGTGTGCATGGATATATTTAGGGTGGAAAAGTGTCCTGCTTCATAAGATATTATATGATACTAGCTATCTGATATTCTTTAAAATAAATTGCTTAAAATCCCACACAAATATAGCCCTGTCAATATAGTAAGCAGAAATATGGAAACATTCAACATCAGCAGTTTCTTTTCTCTCAGTGTCAAATACATTCTTTAAGGAAGACAAGGCAACATATGAACAAGGTCAGATTAGTTTTCAGAAAGAATGGGGTCATGAATATTGGATAAAGACGCTGTCAATCACTAGAGCAGGAAGTGATACAATTGCCTCATCAGAGACAATGATTTTTAAGGGACATTTAAAGGACATTAGTTTGCTTTTTATTATACTGAATTTCATTGTCACTACAAGGAAGCACAATCTCCTTTGCTTGTTCTACTTTTTCAAGACAATGACTCTTTTTTTTTTTTTAAATCAGTACTAAGAAATCTTAGGATCATAACCTACATGATATAATGCTGTATGGCAACAAACTGGACCCTGCTTCAGGTCTAGTATTGGCCTTGTACTCAAGCACTGAAGTAGCTGGATGAGATTTATCTCTTTACACCTAGGAAAAGCATTGATATTCCTTTGCCAGAATTTTTGTCATGATCAGTGCTGTTTTTCCAGGCACTTATATCATAGCTGTCATAAATCTTAAAAGTGTTCTGTATATCTTTATGTGCTGACACTGACATGCACCTACTGAAGTATTTGGTAAAATTTAATAAGCAATTACAGTAAGAATGAAGACATTGTTGAAGACGTCTTCACTAGTTATTAAACAAAATGTCAAACTTACTAGAAATGGCAGCTCAGATCTTTGTGGGTTCCATATTGCTGTCCCAGGCAGTAAAATGATGATGAAATAGAGTCATGGACAATCTGGAATTTGTCCCCTCTCATAAGAGTGCAAGGCACTGCTGGCCATGCATCCAGCATTAACAAATCCCATCTAGCACATAATGCATATTCTATAGCATATTCTTCACACATCGACAGGCACAGAACACATGTTAAACACACCTGGCAGGAGCTGGTAGCAATGGAGCAGGGCTTAGAAGGCTCCATCCTGATGGTAGAAAATACCACCAGAGGAAACCTTATTCTCCTTGTCCCTGAGAAACAACACTCTGCTCATCTGAACACAGTAGCTGAATGAAGCACTCTGTGTCTGAAACTAAAGCTTCACTGGTGGAGGGGGAAAATGAAAGGGAATGGGAAAAATGTTAAAAAAACCCCATGGGCCAGCAGTGAGGTTTACATTTACACCCATTTGAACAACCCAACTGTTCAGAATTTTCTTAAATGAAATTTATGGAGGATATTCACTGAAATTTTCCCATTCCTACAAAACTTAAATGGCAGCTCAGCTATGTTCAGTTACTTGCAATACACACACATTTAATTTCAGTCATCCTAAGCACAAAGTAAATTAAAGATAATCAGATTAATTACTCCTGGGCTGTAGCTTCCACTATACTTAAAAAAAAACAAAACAAGAAAATAAGGTTAGTAGCTTTTAAACATGTGATATTTTCACTTGTGCATTTTGGAAGTTCCATTTATGAAATGGCTGCTTCAAAACCTCAGCTAAAATGCACCAAAAATAATTGCTGTTCTCAAGACAGAGAGTACAAGCAACAAAGCAGATAAAAATCATGTAGCTGAACATGCAATCATAAGAAAAGAAAAACCCAGGAACTGTTCTGTTCCTGCTTATAACTGAACATTTTCACTAGTGATAACTATTTCACACCTGAAAAACACTATTTCACAAATAAGAAAAACTGGTTTGGAAAAGATCATTGTTCTTACTAACCCATCTCGGCTTTTGTACAATATTGCTCGTTTCAATATAGGCTGTAAAATGAGTTCTCTGTTTAGTTAAACCACATTCAGATCTCACACATGTAGAGATGTGAAGAAGCAAAGTAATTACAAAGCTTTTCCCATCAAAAATTGGAAGGGATAAAAAAACCCCAACTTTAATGAATAGTTCAGCAATACAACCCTGTCTGTGCATGAATCTTAAGTTTAATTCTAAGATTCCATTTATCCTGAAGAGACTGTTTTTCATAACAGACTTAACTGTAGCCCCACTTATGTGCACATTTTGTGGTTTAAAAGAACAATTTTAGTTCTTATGCTTTAGTTCTTAGTTTCTTTTCTTAGTGCAAGCCAACAGCTTCTGAAAGCACTATGCTGGCTTCTAAACACTCGGATCAGTTGCCAGGATCCCAGTCCAAGTGTGCCAGGCTGAGTTTCTGTTCTTGGGCCTTTGAAAAGCAAAGAACTGTAAATGCAACATAAGAGTATTAGTTTGTATAATGAAAAAATAATAATTTGTTATTATTAATATATTCTTAATCAAGATCAATAGTTTAAGCCTCATTCTCTCAAGACAAGATTGACTACTCAGAGCACAGAAAACATATGTTCAGCCAATGCATGAGAACACAGATGCAAAAGGAGTCAGCAAAGCATCACCTGACAGCTTCACTATGGGATGACTACAAAACAACAGTAGCTGACTCGGAAGTAACTCTACCTTCACCTCAGAACTAGGAACATTAATGAGTGCAATGTGAGCGGACAACAGGGGAAAAGGAGAAGCCAGAAATACCTGAAAGGATTTTGGAAGAAAGCCTAGAGGAGGTAAAATACAATTGTAATGAAAAACCTTCAAGGAGGGATTTTTCTTTATTGCCTTTTTGTTCTACTTCTTAGGTTATATTTGCAGTAATTCTTTTTTATATGACTTTTTATATTCAGTCTTATTCTTTCCTGAGAGGATCATAGAATGGCTTAGATTGGAAGGGACCTTAAAGATTTCTAATTCCAACCCCTGCTGTAGCCATAAACACCTTGCTCAAGGCCTTGTTCAGCTTGGCTTTGAACATTTCCAGGGATAGAACTTCTCTGGGCAACCCCTCACCACCTTCACAGTAAAGAATTTCTTCCTTGTATCTAATCTAAACCTACTCTCTTTCATTCATTTCATAAAAGCCATTCCTCCTTTCTCCTATCACTAGATGTTTCAGTTAATGGTCCTTGTTCAGCTCTCTTTTAAGTCCTGTCTAGGTACTGGAAAGCCTCAATGAGGTCTCCCTGAACCCTTTTGTTCTCCAAGCTGAAAAATCCAATTCTCTTTGCCTTTCTTTGTAGGAAAGGTGCTCCATCCCTCTCATCATTTTGGTGGCCTACTCTGGACTCGCTCCAGCAGGTCCATGTCCTTCCTGTGCTGGGGACCCCAGAGCTGGATGCAGCACTGCAGGTGGTGTCTCACCAGTGCAGAGCAAAGGGGCAGAATCCCCTCCTTCATCCTGCTGCCCACGCTCCTTTGGATGCAGCCCAGGATACAACTGGCTTTCTGGGCTGTGAGTGCCACTGCTGGGTTGTGTCCAAGCTCTTGTCCATCTGCACTCCCAAATCCTTCTTGGCAAGGCTGCCCTTAATCCCTTCATGCCCCAGCTGGCGTTGATACCAGGGGTTGCCCCAACCCAGGTGCAGCACCTTGCACTTGGTCGTGCTGAACTTCTTGAGGTTCTCACAGATTGACCTCTCAAGCCTGTCCAGATCCCTATGGCTGGCATCCCATCCTTCAGGTGAGTGAAGAGCGCCACTCAGCTTGGTGTTATTTGCAAACCTGCTGAAGGAGCACTTGATCCCTTCATCTGTGTCATTAATGAAGCCATTAAATAACTCTGGTGCCAACGCAGACCCCTGAGGGACACCACTGGTCACTGATGCCCACTGAGCTGTTGATCACTATCCTCTGGATCTGACTGTCTGACCAATTCCTAATCCACCTAACAGCCTACCCACCAAATCCATATCTATACAATTGTGAGAGAAGAATGTTGTGAAGAACCATGTCAAAAGCTTTACAGAAGTCCAGATAAATGACATCAACAGCCCTTCCCTTGCCCACTGATGGAGTCACTCCATCACAGAAAGCCACTAAGTTGGTCAGGCAGAACTTGCCCTTGGTGAAGCTGTGCTGGCAGTCCTTAATGATCTCCCCATCCCCTCTATTCCATGAAGTTTGAATCAAACAACAAGCTAAGAGATCAATTCATGTCTATTATAAAATAAAGATAAAATCTTGCTCCACAAGAGATTGTGGACTATGTATCTGTATGAATACATTAATTACCTCATGGCTTTTAATGATAGTTTCCTAAATTTTAAGTATCCTGCTAATTTTTCCTCATTAATGGAATGATGGTTAACAACCATTTCCTTAAGCAACAATAGTATATGGCAAGAAAGAACTTGATTTGATTTCAAGATATTTACATGTTTGTGTTGAAAATCTATGCCAGAAAGCTAGCTGATACTTATACTCCCTTTCACACAGATATTCTGTCACTGTAGAAATAGAACTATAGCTAAAACTAAATTAGTTCTCCTGAATTTGTTTTAGCAGTATGCTACTTTCATGGGTTTAGCATAACTGCAGCAATAAACAGCATGCACTACACAAGAATTTAGGCAAAATAATCCCAAAATAGCGATGGTAAAGAGTCTAATATTAACACTACCTATCATTTTTTCAGTGATATTCAAGGCAATATTAGATAAATGGTGTACTTCTAAAGACTTTTCCTCTTCAAAGGAAGTATTTTTATTTTTCTTCAAGGTCTTTGCAAAACTGTGAAAGAGAGCACAAGATGATATGGCCTCAGCTGTCAACACTATATTGCAAACAGCCACCACTGATGCAATCCCAAATTGTTAAAAAAACCTAAAAGAGGATCTGACTTAAAAATAAAAAGGTTTAAACTCAACATAAGAAAGATTGAAAGGGGAATATACCACACTTATAAGCTTACAAGTGGAGAAAGGACAAGTATTACAAATCCTCAGCTGTGACTCCTTCCCCACCAAGCTTAAGTAGCCAGAAATCACCAGGATTACAGTACTCACAACAAAGGTCTGCCACCTCATTGTAAGAACTGGCATGCTGTACTTCTTAAACAATTATGTAAAATCAAGAATTGATCAGGAACTGAACTAATGTGACCACTTCATTATTTTCTGTTCCTTCCCTCAGCTCTTGCTTTCTTAATATTCCCACCCTTGCCTCCAGCACCCAAGTACCACTAACTGCACCCCTTGCTCTGCCACTCACCATATTACTACTAATTAATCTGAAGGGACATGACAAACAGCAACCTTCCCTCTCCTCCAGCTCACAGTTAATAAATGTGCATGCCAGCTGTGTATATGTCATCTCTAGAATGGATTGCTGTAACTCACAAGATGTGAAGCTGATGACAATGGCTCCAACTAATACAGGATGCAGCTGCTTGCTTCCCCCATGCTTTAGGTCACAGTGACATCTCAAAGCTCTATTGCCCATTTACTTTTAGATTCACTTCAAGTTCTAGGTTGCAATCTCCAAAGCTCAAATTTTGGTACATTAAAGATTAAATTATTTGTGAATATTAGAAATTTACACACCTCTGGAACAATGCAGATCACAAAGCTCTGCATGAGGTTTTTTTACAATTGAAAATAAAAAACCCATTTCTAGTTGTGGGATTCAAGCTCAGCATGATCTTTTCGAGGATTTTAAAGGGATATGAGAACCTAATTATTTTTTTAAAATGCTCCAAAGCTATCCTTTTGGAAGACTTTCTTTCACAGCAGAAGAAAGTACACTACTATTTTCTTCCTACTCTATTTTGCAGTCCAAGACAAGAACACTAATGAAAGAACAGAGAAAACCCATCCCTCAATAAGAGTTTTATCCTAAGAAGGCAGGTCAGAAGTGGAGTGGGATATCACTACTACTAATTTTACTTAAAAAGCACTGAGATACTATGGTTATAGAAAACAATCTAAATCACTAAGATACGTGAAAAGTGACGGGCAACAAAATTAAACTACAGAAACATTTTTAGGCAGTAAAAATTGCCCTGGAATCTAATTTTCATTCCTCCTCTTTAAATGAACCCATGCATGTTCAGATTTAAGTAGAACTGTAATAATGTGACTATTGAACTCTATACCTGGAAGAACCAGATACCTAACATCAGACGTACAAGGCAACAAGATCACCTACTAAGTCACTCAAAATACATAAACAGAGCTCTTGTCTTCATCAGGGAGAATGCTTAGCTCTCTCAGATGCTTATTTTTTTATGATTTCATGATTTAATTTGCTTCATCTGCACTGGCTCAGGGACACAGAATCAGTCAAAAGAAAAGGAATCTTTTGTTGCTGGTTGGCATATGCTGGGTTTTGCATTTAGAAATTAATAAGAGAAATTATTTTCCAGATGCTTCTTTTAGTTCCAGCTGCTCCACACGCCCAAGGTATTTTTAGGAAGGAAACTGCATCATAATTCTCCCGTTAAAAGAAAGTTAAAATTAAGTAACCCCCAAACAAAACCCCAAACCCAAAACACTTTGCTCTAAAGTATCCTTTATTGCATCCTTTTCTGGAAATTACTTTAAGTGTTCAAACCAATAAGCAGTCTTTTGCAACAGAGCACCACATCTCACCTTTCAAGGCTGCTTGTTCTGCTTGAGTGTACATCCCCAGAAAGAAGTAGGTACAGGCAAGGTTCACCCAAACCTCTGGTTTGCAAGTTGCTTGCTTGGTTAAAGCCTCATATTCCTGTAACAGAAGAGAGGGTTGATTTTTAAAAAATGTGTTATAGTGCATACTTGTATTAAATATAATTCTTTCTTCCACAATTTTACCATGTATCATTAAATTACTGACATCAAACAATTTATTCTGAAGTTCACTGCAGTCCTTACAACAAAACTATTATTTTAAGCTATGTCCCTACTTTTTTGTTTTAACAATATAACGGACCACAGGAACAAGCAGTGCCATAAATCATCACATAAAAGGAGGACTTCTGTCAATATTGAAGTTACAGAGATATAAAACATATTTATATTGTAAATATATTATAATAAAAATATTATTTACATATATAAGCCCCAATATAAGTAAGCTATTAAAGCATCAATATAATCAACTTCTGTTGCTTTCCTAAGTTCTCCTCCAGTCAAAGCCTGGGAGCCATAATCACCAGGGAAATCTCTTTGTGAATACTTACTGAAGCAAGTGTTAAATGTGTTTTTGTAAACCTGTAGGTAGTGTCTTAGTGTATATTAAACCTGTGGAAGTGTGTGTTAAGTCTGAGGTTATGTAATATAATAACATCAAGTGCCGGAAGAAAAATTTTTTTGTACAACTAATAACTAAAATAAGTATTTAAAATTATATTTCATTTTATCACATTCTTTTTTTAGTTCCTATTTTTGTCTATGTTTTATAATTACATATTAGTACAGTGGTACATATATATAATTTATAAATGTATAGATGTGTGTATATACATTGGGAATGTGTTCTCAAAAATTTTTTACTAAAAGGGTACAGCAAAATTGCTTGGAGACCACTGCATTAAAATGCAAGCCTAAAAATTGGTATTGGGCAAATTCAAGATCTCCTTATAGATGAAGATTAGTAATTTGTAGTAAATATTAATAACCTGTTCCTAACTTTACCATTTCCCATTTTAAGATCTATAGCCAACAGCTACAGAAAGGCTCTTGATGTCATATTCTGATATTTCTTACACATCCACATTGACTACACATCCTTTAATTCTGCCACACAAACTCCTTCATTTCTTGTTATTTGTGAAACAGCAAAACTTAACAGATCAATCTTTCAATCTACTTCTTTTAAACAAAAAAACTTTGCAGCCACTAAACAATTATACTCCTGAAGATAAGCATCTTTTCTCAGAGTAACAACAGGTACTAAAAACAGAGGCACGGAGATCTCTAAATGCCATTTTTTTCCTGTGTCACAGTTCTGATAGATTCCTAGGAAGGACCCTCCCAATGGAAGTGCCTGCTGCTGGTGCTCCTACTCTTCATCCAGCCATGGAGGCATGAAGCATAAAGCAAAGCAGGCAGGGTCATGCAAGGTTCTCATCAGACCTGCTGTAGGAATGTCATCCATGCACTCCAGATCACTGCAAGCCACTCATCCCTCCCAGCAAAACAGCCTCTTGACTCTGTACTTGTTTCCCAAACATGAATTGGAAGCTCCCTCTACCTAGGGAGAGTTTAGCAGATTGAGCCTCTGTGGGTGGGAGACTTCTTACCTCTGGGGAAAAAGACAGATATATATATATATACACACATATATATGTATATGTATATAATGAGCCATGCCCAAAGTACAGAAAATCCCAGTAACACAAACATGCTGATAACAATAAAGTTCAGAGCTTGTAAGCATAAAGAATTAATTTTTCTTTGTTGCCAAATAAAAGTAAACTGCACTCTGAAACAGAGAAGAAACTCGTAAGAAGCACCTTAAAAGCCAGCTCAGTCTTGCTAGTATTTCAGGGACTAGCTGTCCAACAATATTTACAATAAATAAATATAAATATCATAAACATCATCATAATAATGATTAATATTTTTTAAAATAAAACATTTGCATAGAGGCCAACCTTTCCTACTGAGGCCAGTTTAATCTTGAGGTAGGCCTGTCAAGGAGCTCTGAGATATAGGCCACTGCTGTTTATTGGGACCATCTGGAATCTTTCAAAATTCATTCAGATTAAATGCACCCAAAGGTCTCTCTTGACTAGGGCTTCAGGCAGCTTAATTAAAAAAGACAAAGTGCACAAACACAAGTCATGTTATGGCCTGGCCCTTCAAAGTAAGCAATATATAAAGAGTGTTCTAGCAGTACCAATGTGAATATATGGAAACATTAAATAAAAATTAGGACTATTAGTGCTCCTTACCCTGTAGTTCTGGGCCATGTGTCTGGACTATGTGTTGTTGCCCCTTTCCTCACTGAAAGCCATTCAATATCAGTCTTTCAAAGATTACTTCACAAGAACTTTCCCCCCTCCTTTCTCAATAAACCAACAAACCCAAACAAATTAAATACTCTCAAACCTGTCCTAAGAGTCAACCAGTGGCATGCTTTTGCCATCCAGCAGCATTAACAACTCCTTGCTATTTTACTGTCCTCCTCCTCATACCTCTATCACTAGACACATGCAGTTTTCCTCAAAAGCAGGCTGCCAGGTCAATTGTCCACAACTATGGACATGTACTGACCATGTGGAGGGCCAGCTTAATGCCCTTATTACATGTCTGTGTTCTTCAAGCCCATAAACACAGATGCTGAAGAGCCAATAAACAAGCCAACATATATGGCTGCTCAACATGTGCTCAAAGAGATACTTATTGTAACCTGGCTACAGACATCATAGAGATGCCTAGAGAACTCCCAGAGATAAAAAAATCCAGTTCTTACTTTGTCTTCAGCTATCAGGAACTGGAATGTACCTGTATTCTCACACTTCTCACAGAATTATTCAAGCATGACCAGATACTGCCCATGGATGAACAATTACCCTAGTACAGCCCTGGTCCTTCCATGATTTACAATTTGACTAAAATTATCCTGAGCCAAGCTGGCAGGAGGTCCTGATCAGTGAAGTGGTGGAATTGCTCCTACTTCTCTGCCAGGTGGCAGAAGATTGGAGAGACTGTTGCTGGCTGGTTGTAGGATTTTGACAGAAACAATGCATTGAAGGCTCTGGCCCAGGGATCATTCTTTGCTCTCATGTATGCAGTTGATGAACCAAAATGGCATTAGCATGTCCAGCAGCTGCACCATGTGTGCCTAGAAGCAGAGGGTACAGACTGCAAGTGTGAAACTTGTTCTTGAATCCAACCAAGAAAAGTACCTGCCTATGCCAATTTGTCTCATAAATTTTTAAAATATAGGTATAGATATAGGTCTATATATCTATAGACATAGATCTAGATCTATAAATTTTTAAATATCTGTATGCAGATTCAGATATTTAAAAATGTAATAAACCATCACTTTCTTAAGGCCCCAGCTGATTCAATTTATAAGACCAGGCAGCTCAGAAACAGAATAATTGGCCTGATGCTCTAGTTCTGGTACTTGGATGACACTGGGAAATTTTTCAGAAGATTTAAGATTGGAGCCATGAACAAGTGGCAGCTGCTGCAGAAAGACAGATGAGTTTTTTCTACATTTTTTCCCATTATGAACACTAGATGTGGAAGATTCCAGAAAACTAATTAGATGTCACCACATACTAGTAAAGCTCTGGTTGCCATATGACGCCAGGAAGACACAAGCTACTCAGTAAAAAATAAATCTGTCCATGAAGGAAGCTAGTCAGTCCCTCAGGAAGAACTGCACCATCACTGCTGAAGAGTCAAGCCCATTGCAATAGCATTTGTAAACTGGGGTACAGCAGGAGGGATGATCCCAGCAGACCAGTGAAAGTGGCATAACCTTTGAGAAAGGCATCTGCTGTTAAGAAGAGGAAAAGTATGACCCCAGTGAGGCTGAGGTTAGTGCCCTACCCAGAGGACACTTAACTGTTGTTGGTGTGCCTGTGATAAGAGAATGTGAATTCTCTCACTTGAATGTGACAGTGATTTCGCTGTCATTTTCTCTGAAGATATTCCTGGAGCTGGAATGGACATCTGTGTGTTTTTCACTTATTCCCTGTTTCTCCTGGTGATGCATGATGGCCACCTCATCACAACTCCCAAGCTTCTCCAAAAGTTGCTATGCAACCAACACGCCTGGCTCACTGTGAAAGTACCATCATTAATAAAAGCATGGAAAAGTGTGATTTCTGAAGACCCTCATCAGGTACATGGACCATGAACTGTTATACAGTGACACATACTATGTGTTGTCACCTGCAGGAACACACAGCAGTGTGAATCATTTAGGTTATATGCAATGTCATTCTGGATAATTCAGCAGAATCTTTGACCCATAGTATTTTATCTACAGTGCTTTTGGCACTCCCCAAAGAGTGCTCCAAGATCTCAAGGATATAGATTATCAAGGAATTTGTCCTTGAGAATACAGCAACAACACCTCTGGAACATAGCAGATGAGATAGCAGCATTTTACAATTCAACATGGATTTTGATAACTAAAAGGCAGTTCAGCCTCCACGGTGGAATGAGACCTACAGTCTTAGAAATTAAAACTAGAGTGTTCTGTCCCCAGAGAAACTACGTTGAGATGCACAGGCTCATTTCCCACGTCACCACAAAATTACAAAGCTATCGGACTTATCACTGTGCAAAAAAACCAGCATTAAATCCGGGAAGACAAGCCCTGTGATCTCTCACTTAAAACATACACAATCAATCAAACTACAAATCGCTCATACAAACCTTTTATTGTCCCTTCTTGGGCAGATAACCAGGAAAAAGGCGGCTATGTTGCAGTGTTTAAAAGCCTGAATCAAGAGCATCACCTAGTGGTGAATCAAACACCACATGCAAAAACTAATTAGGAAAATTTAAAAAAAAGCAGTCGCCTTTTCGTTGAAGGAAACATGTAAAATCTACTCTGGCTATAAAAGCATCCACTGGGTATTTCTCAACCAGAATTTATTTCAAATTTATTTTCAAACTGCTTCTTATTTCAAAGAAATTGCAAGTTATTTTTCATCTGTATATGAACATTTTTCTTTTTTTAAACTTGCACTGCCTATTAACACCCAATACCTGAATGTAAATTAACTACAGCTACTGATTGTTGTATTCATAATATCTAAATCCCACAAGTCTAAACATGAATATTAATTTACTGTGATGTTCTGCACTACTTCTATACTGTGTTCACCATCCATTTGATTCACTGAGCATTTCTAATAACTCTAACAGATGTTTCAATTTTTAAAGGGCAGAGTGCCTTGTGCCTTTCTTACTTAGAAGCTTTAGAGTTTTCACCTCATGTATGCATTCTTGTGCATGTGACCATTTATCTAAGAGAGAAAATAAAATCATTGTTCTATAATCTATTTCTTTTCTTTTTATTATCTTTTGTTAATACTTTAAATTAACATCTGTTTTTAATATTGATTCTAGGGAAAGCAAGTTCAAAGACTGCAAAACCAGCTATACTTGAGTTACACTTCACAGTGAGGGGACACAGCAGAACTGTAAGAGGCAAACATATTTGAACAATTACCATATATTTTAGTGACTTAAAGCTTTTAGAAAAAAAGACCACCTCATTTAATTAAATTACCTAATACAAGAAAATGCAAAGAAGACCAATAAAGTACATTAAATAGTCAGGAGCATCAACCTCTAAAGAAAGAATTTTTTCATACCTGTCACAGATAAGCTACACAATGAAGACAGAAATATTAAACCTGAAAAATGAAACTGTGGAAACCTAGCTGCAAAAAGGGAATGATGGATTTAGGACATGAACAATGACATTCAACAGAACAAATTAAGCTACCGACCCTAGTATGAAATAAGTCAGTACCTAATATTTAACAAGTTCTATTTTCATAGGCAAAATACCATTTTCCCCCCAATCCAAACTGCTTCCCAGAGCATCTGCCTCATTACTGTACATTTGTACCTTAACTGGCCAGCAGGGCTGTTCCCTACTACAGACCATCTTCCTCCTGCTGCCATTATTTTATCACAACATCCCAGTTTCCAACCTCGGGAAGCAGGATTTCCCCACCTTACCTCCAGAGCTCTCTTGTAGTCACCCAAATGAAACGCGCAGTATCCAATCCAAAGGCTGCCATCCTCCTCCTCCTCCTCCGCCACGTGCTGCTTAAACTTTGCAGAGAATAAAGAATATAAGAATTTTGTCAGCTGCCAGAGTTTCTAAAGCCCCACAGATAACCAAAGCAATACTAGGCTATCATATATCACGGACGGTTTGACAGCTGGGGATGCTGCTGGGATGGAGCTGCTTTCACATTTCCAAGGGCAGCAGCAGGCAGCCCTCACAGGCCAAACCCGGCTCTGTGAAGCGGGGAGCAACAGATGCCGCTGCAGGGCCCCAAGGGGGCGAGAGGGTCCCAAGGCAGGGGAAGGGATGCTCTCGTCCCGCAGCCCTGAGGGCACAGCGACGATACCGCTCTCCCGAGGAGAGCCCGTCACCTCCAGCAAGGCGATCGCGCCGGTGAAGTCCCTCTGGGCCAAGAGTTCTTCCAACTGCGGCACCTCCTTCCCTTTCTTCCTCCGCCTGTCTCCCGGCGGCGGGGTACCCCCCACGGCCGGCTTGGCCCGAGAGAGCATCTGGGCAGAGAGCAAGGAGGAGCCGGCTCAGAGCGGGCTCTCACTCGGCGGTGCCTTCTCCGCCGCGTCCCCTGTCCCGCCGCGCCTCACCATGCTACCATACCTCACCGCGCTGCGATCCCTCACCCATCCTACCATCCCTCACCGCCCTGCGATCCCTCACCCATCCTACCATCCCTCACCGCCCCGCCGCCCCTCACCATCCTGCGATCCCTCACCATCTACCATCCCTCACCGCCCCGCCGCCCCTCACCATCCTGCGATCCCTCACCATCCTACCATCCCTCACCGCCCCGCCGCCCTCCACCATCCTGCGATCCCTCACCGCCCCGCCGCCCCTCACCATCCTGCGATCCCTCACCATCTACCCTCCCTCACCGCCCCGCCGCCCCTCACCATCTTGCGGCCGGGCCCGAGCTCCGCGTTGCGCCGGCGGCGCCGTTGCCGGGGTAACAGCGGGATGGCGGAAGGCCGCGGCGAAAGGGCGCCGGCTGGCGACCGGCGCCGTCTCCAGGGTTCCGCCTCCCCTGCGGCGGGCGGTGATCTCCGCGGCGGCCGCCTCAGTGAGACGCGCGCTGGTTCCTCCCCCAGAGCCCGTGGCGCTTCCTCTCCTTGCCTTTGGGCCCTGGCCTGAACATCCGGGGCCTGCGCTTGGGTCACAACAACAACGCCATGGATTTGGGACAGAGTGGCTGGAAAGCAGCCGGGTGGAAAAGGATCTAGGGGTGCTGGCTGACAGCGAGCCAGCGTGTCCAGGTGGCCAAGAAGGCCAGTGGCATCGTGTCAGATAAAATGTGGCCAGCCCCTGTACACTCGTGAGGCCACACCTCGAACCCTGTGTCCACTTTTGAGCCCCTCATGACAAGAACGACATTGAGGGGCTGGAGCTTGTCCAAAGGAGGGCAGCAAAACTGCTGAGAAATTTGGAACAAAAGTCTAATTGTCCCAAAACAGGGGTTTTTTTCACCCGGTGTTCGAGGCCAATCCACACACAGAGTCAAGGTCTTTGATGTATTTACAGTTCTGCACAGAAGGGGGTGCTGAGTGGCCAGCACACAAAGCCAGCATGACAAAACTTCTCATTGTTTATCCATTTTAGCAAACAAAGGCATTAAGGTCCATTATCTGCAAATTACATAGTTCCCTTAATAATCAGTATTCTTCTATTGATTAATGAGTCTCTCACTTTTAATGCTGATTAGCCCACACAATCTATTGGGTCAGTGGCCATCAGTCAGTGGTCACAATTTACCCACTGCCAATTACCTTGTACCCAGCTGGGGCTGATTCAGCACAGTCACTGAGCTGTCTTTATTAGCTTCTTCCTTTGCTTGGGGGTTCTGCCAAATGTCCTTATGGCCTATAAATTCTACATTCCTTGTGTCCACTATCAGTGGTACATCCTCATTCCCAAGCTTTGTTAACCTCCATGTAGGTCTGAGATAATTGGAACATGTCAAGCCCTAAACCCTGACAAGGCAGTTCTACCAATAACTAATTTTTCTTTCTAACACCTGGACATCACTTAGAGTTTGCTTGTTAGCTGCTCCCTGTTTCACAGATTAAATCTCTTTTTGATTAGTCTTGAAAGTATACAAAGGTAAATATCAAAGAACATATTTTCTTAAGATTAATAATGTAAGGATGAGTGGCTGAAGAAGCTGGAACCTGGAGAAAAGGAGACTCGGATGAGATCTTACTGCTTTCTACAGTTACCTGAAGGGGGGGTTTAGCAAGGTGAGGGTTGGTCTCTTCTCCCAAGTGACAAGTGGAAACAGCTTCAAGTTAGGTTGTTGGAGGTTTAGACTGAGGTTTAGACAATTAGGAAAAAATTCTTCACTGAAAGGATGGTCAAGCATTGGAACAGGTTCTCCAGGGAAGTGATGGAATCACAATCCCAGGAGTGTTCAAAGGACAAGTAGATAAGGCGCTTAGGGACATGGGAACTGACAGACCATAGAGATCTTTTCCAACCTTCTATGATTAGAAATGTCAGTGCAGAGGACTAAAACATTACACTACTGCTGACAACTCAACTAATTAAAAAACACATATCCATGGACAGAACTAATGAGGTATCTGCATTTCTACCTTTATCAGGAAAAAACCTCCAGCTTTTGTTTTTGGTATGAATAAACATATCCTGTCAGATTGCAATCATCTGTAATGTAGACCAGCAGTAAAGAACTGTGTGCTGCTTCTTCAGAGTATGGGTTCCATATTTACTGTGTCCCAATCACTTCAAGATAGCTCGACCCAGCAATGATACACCCAGCTTGGAGCTCTGAGAGATTGCTCTCCAACCAGAAACCACTGGAGCACAACAGCACTGTGACAGTGTCCCTTGATGATGAATGTGCTTTCACACCTCAGGCCACAAAGAAGGAAGGCAGATAATCCACTCTCCCACAAAGGATTTCTCTGTAAGAAATTTATTTTTAATTACTTAGTCAAAGTGATAAAGAATGTTTGCTAGTGATTTAGTCTGCTTTTATAGCTCTTCTCTATTATGTAAGGTATTATTTCTGTCAGGAGAAAATTAATTTCCATAAATAATTCTGAAATTATTTGCTCTTTCAGAGATTTGATTTCATGTGGTCAAGCAGATAGTACAATTAGGTAAGATCCTTTTATTTTTTTTTAAGAAAAAGTAACTAAAAATTCAATTTTACTACATTGCTTTCTTCTGGTTTTTAACAGATTCTTTCAGAAGACCCCGTTGTTCTAAGGATCAACATAAATACAGCTAAAATATTAACTCAAATGAAAGAAAGCTCTCAGCTGCTCCAGTGGTTTCTCCCATTTCCAAGTGGCTCCTGAATTTGTATGTGGTGGATCCAAAGCTGGAGAATGCCCAAGAGCTAACAGAGTGTCAGTGTGTTAGGTGTGGGCACAAAAATGACCATGTCATCTGTGATAAAAAGTGATAGCAGCATCAAATTGACCAAAATATTTTTAGCATGCCTGATGTAGAAATTTTTACTAAGATGCAGTACAAAGTAGGTGGAAATGTTATAGTTTTTCCTCATTTGAAACACTAAGATGACAATTCATAAATTAAAGACAAGTCAAGAAGTTTGTCTACTCTAGAATAATACTGGAAAACTGCTACAGTTCTTACCTCCACTATTCTTTTAGCCAGTGCCATTATCCTGAGCCTATGAGCTGTAAAATTATTAATGATCATGTTTATTTCCACACAGAATTGCTGGGAGAATGGGAATTTACTCACACTAATGGCAGCAAAAGGGAAATCATGCACTCATGACTAAACACCAAGGTAATCATCAGAGGGTGCAATGAGTGTTTAAATAAAAAACCAGAGACCCGAAAGTGAGATTTAAGAAAAGGAGATGAAGGAAATTTTAAAAAATGAAAGAAAGCAAGAAGTGGAAAAAACCTTATCATAATATAAACTAAAGCAAGAGGTTAGGACATGACCTTTGCATCAGCAACAATCATGTACTTCAATTTCCACAATATCTGGGTAAGATCATGTTCTTTCAGTAATGATGCTTCACTGTGTTCTGTGTCTTGTACCTTTGAAAATGCACCTGACAACATCTGACATCTCAAGATAAATGATACACAAAAGTGAGAACAATGAAATGCTCCCCTGCTACAGCTACAAAGGCAGTCCCTTGAGATGAGAAAATGGGAAATGATCCCTTTTAAGCAAGGAACTTGAACAATACTTGGTTCTTTTTTTTTTATGGCTCCAGCAACTTCTGAGTCTTGATCTACCCTGGCTGAACCACCCATGATGAGAGAAGCTGAAACACGTAAGTTGATGGATCATGTGTGCCTTTAATGCTTTTGTTCTATTACCCAGCTCAGGAAGGCAAACAAAATTCGTGTCAGTTAAAGACCTCCAAATGGTGACATGAAAATTCATCATTTTTATCTTTGTTTGGAAAGGGGAAACTTTAGTTTTCATTCCTGTTTATGTCTGTTATTTTTATGGGTCTGTGGAAAATGCACCTTCAGAATTTTTCTGATATTTCCAGCATGTACCTGTCATCAAGATTCAGTCAAGTTAATAAAAAAGCTGTTCTTGTATTTGATTTTAGCACTACATTTAGGTAAGTTTTTAGAAGTTTATATATGTAGAACTGAAGGAGGGGAGGCAAGACAATCCACTGGTCCAGTATGAATCAGTGATAGAACTGAAGATGGAATGCATGGAGAGCTGTGTCTGCACAAACTTATCCAAGCCAGAAAGCCACATCACTGCAGGTGCTGTGTCCAAAAGAATGCAGTGGTACTGGCCCAGGACATGTGCTTATATATCTGCACAATGTTCCACTGCCATCTGGATTTACAGGATCAAGTGGACACTAGCTTGAATATCTCGTAACTCCATCCCAGCACATAGTATAAACACGTGTAATGTTTAATAGAAAGAGGTTAAGGAAACTGAAATATATGTCCAGGACATAAATTATTACACATTTAAGCCATTTACCTTTGTAAAGATAAGCAGAACAGATGTTTGCCCATTAAGGATAGCTTACATTTGTCTCTTTACAGAGATGTATCCTGCTGATACATGTGTAAAAGAGGCAAATCAGTATGCTGAAAAGGTGAATGTGTCCTGTCACTCTGGAAGCAAAGTCCTTTTGAGAAAGAAAACAGTAGTTAATAGGAAAGACTTCCTACTATTTATTTTTGTAGTATACAAGTTAGGTGGATAAATAATATTCATATCAAAATGTATATATGTGTTGGGAAAGAGTTAACAGGAAGAAGACTTTCTTAATTGAGCTAGATGTTTATGACACATCACATATTTAGCTTCATCTTGTGGTAGTGGCAACATAATAGATCGATAGGAAGATGGGGCCACCACCCAAGCTGTTGGTAATATGATGCAATTCCACTTTCCTTATCCTTGTCTGTAGTGTTCCTCTTACTAGATTGGTAACTTCTGATGAGAACAGTCAGTGCTTTGCAGTGTAATTTCATTCTAATCTGTGCCAGCAACTAAATTATGGCAGGAACCTGAACTCTCAATAACCCATGGCAATGGCTATATTATCGTGCTCTACTATCAGGATCATGCATCACATGACCCACTTGTTTTTATGTTGATTTACAAACTTGTTGCTTATCAGTTACTGGTTCCAAAGGATAGTGTTTGCAAAATCTTTCTTTATGTTCTTTTGTAGTAAATGAGAAAGAAAAAAAGATCAGTTCTGAAAAGTCAATATAGCTGCTATGCAGCCTCTATACGTGTATGCTATATCTATGTATAGAGCTGCTATATATGTATACTATACAACTACATTAATAATAATTTACATTATTGTCCTCTAAACCTAGATAGTAGAAGTGTTGTAAAAATAATTTAAAATATGGGAAAACATTATTTCATATCCCTTGTCTCGTCTCTCCTATTGAAAGTTAAAGACATCTTTATATTCTCCAGCTGACACCGTTAAGTTCCTGACAT